CAACAATATTCTAATATTTTTACTGGAAATATTAGATCTTATATATTTCTCATAAAACGTATGAAAGATATATTTTATATATTTGTGTCAAAGTATAAAAGAAAAATGTATCCTTCTATATCTTACATAACATTAAAATATAATAATAATTTGGTTGCATGATAAAATATCAGAGTACTCCTAAAAACAGTATTTTAATACTTCTTCTGGTATTAAACGTTTGTAAAATATATTTTATTTCTCTGTGTCAAACTATAAAATGTGTCCCATTTAATGGAAATTCATAAAATCATAAACATAAGGAATTTATAATACTTTGTATAAAATGGATATATTTTTTCGGTGTAGTAATTCTTTTACTACCGTGGCGAGTGGATGATGTTGAGATCCTGCGTCCTGGGTATGCGTCCGCACATAAAATGTTATTGCGAAAAACTATTAAATTTCTCTAGAGATGAAAATATGATCAGAAATTTAAATCGATTTATTAAAAGCCGTCGCAGTTGTTCCTACTGCGTTCAAGTGATTGGAGTTGGTTCGTAACTTGGCCAAAAAGGAAAGAGGACTTTCAACTACGCAGAAGAACATGTGTTGCCGTACAAAAGTTTTGATCCCGAACACCGAAAAGGTTTCCAATGTGAGACGATTTCTTATTGATGGGAGTGTAGTGTGTACAGTGGGTTATACTGGAAACTTCCTAAAAAATGACACAAAAAAATACCGAATCAATACCAAATAAATACCGATAAGGAGGAACCACATACTTATTAAAAAAAAGTTATAAAAGGGTTTACAAATATATTAAAATAAAAATAAACAATACCTTTGCTTTATTCAATATTGGGAAAAATGGGAAATGGTAGAATGGGAAAATCTTCATTCTTCCTATGACTTCCTAATCCAATTAATTCTCCTAACCACCCACTGTACCAAGTTGCTTTTCCGAAACCCATAGTAATCCGCAAAGGCAGTCATATTTCGGTCAAAACTGGGGAAAACAAAATTTACTATGTACACTTAATGTCTAGACAAAGCTTCCCAATTACCTTATCCGATTACACGAAGATTTGGCCCACGAAGTGTTGGACGTTGACTACGAACCCCTCAGAACGCAAAGTGTAAACCCGATCCCAAAACCCAAGCCCAAAAGCATTGCTTTTTGGAAACCCTTGACCCGGCATGCCAGGAACTCTTCGAGAGAAATCTTCATATTACTGTTGTCCCTTTTGTGGGACAAACCCCCATACCCCCCTTCCTTTTTTGGAGCGGAAAATGTTGAAATAATTTGGGCAAAAGAAATGTTCTCACACCTTTCACTGCGGAGAAAGGAGTAAAAAGCACTTAAGTGCCTTGGCCAGGACTCGGGTTTTAATTGAAGTGCAGTCCAGAGTCCTTCAGTGTGTGTGTCGTTTTTCAAGCAGGTGTAAAGTTAAATCATAAAATGAAATTAAAATAAACCAAAGCCGAAGCTCAAGCCAAACGTAATGAAGTACGGAAACAGTCCACAAAAAAAAATGGTAGGAAAAAGAAAGGAAAGAAAAGGATTAAGCGTGGGCTAACTCGACATCCCAAAGGGTTTCCGTTTCCGGTTGCCTCCCCTGGTGCCCATAATTAGCTGCAAGTTGGGTAACAAATTTTTCGAGAAATTTTTCTACAATTTTTTTTGTACCCACATTTTTTTAGAAAAACAACATTTGGTTATTGAAAAATTCATGAGCTCTTGCCTAGAACATTGACACAAGGACGGTTCAGGGGTGTGGCAGGTTTTAATAAAAAATATTTGAGAAGCCTCTAAATATATATATTTAATATATAATAATAGTTGGGGTTTTTTAAAATGTAACTTTTTTTTTAATTTTAAATGTAATACAAATAAGGAAAAATATCAAAAGGCTATAAATACATTTGGTTATATTAAAATATCAGCACTTATAGTATTCAGACTATTATTTAAAGTTTTAATTAAGAGTTCCAAAGAAACATAATTTTTTTCTGGACCAAAAAGTGACCCCCTTTCACCACTTAACCCTTGATAAGCATACGCCACTGCCTTCAGCCTGTGCAAACGTTTTTGTCATATTACAATATAATTTATTAAAATTCTTATTTGCAACGCAAAGGACGGCAGCAGGAAGATAGAAAGAGATAGCCGAGGAGGACTCTGCTGTAAAAACAAAAGCGCCTCGTTAGTGTTGAATTTTTAATAAAAAGCCGCACATGATACCGAGTCAAAATGTAAATTACAATATTCCTTCTATAATTTGTTATAATGAGGCACATTTCTCGTTAACCCAACCTCTTGTTACTTGATGTGACTATAATTGCCTATTGGTGGCCATTAAATAGATAAAGCCCTGGGCAAGCCTCGTTTTTTTTTTGAGCTGTCCCTTTCGCATTTGCATATGGAAAACGCAATCAAAACGCCAGAAAGTCAACAAAACCGCTAAGTAAACTCAAACAGAATGGTCAGTGGAAATGTGGGAGGGAAAACCCACCTAAAAATCCGAACATTTCATTACGATGGCCGTGCATTTGTGTGAACTCCGGCCAAATGCACACGCCCCCTCAAAGGAACACATGTATATAGATACACATATGTATATATATAGATACACCACATCCGCCGACTTTCAGTTCCGGTATTCGATGTTTGTTTTTGCGGTTACGCCTCCGGAATCGACCGGAATCGGGTGGGTCAGCGACCATAAATGCTGGGTCAGCAAATTGCGCATACGACTTGTAAACATTCCTGTATTATTCAGGGGTGTCGCAGATATACGTATTCCAACTCAGAGAAAATACCATTTTTAAAGACAAAATGTTATCAAAATTACATACAATAATAATAAATAATAATAATAATAATAATAATAAAATACATACTATTTATTTTGAGATCAAAATCGAGTGCTTTTAGTATAAGCAGATAAGAAAACCCAAAAATCTGTGATTGATTAAATAATTTTAAAATTATTTTACAATACCTTTACACAAAATTCTGTGTTTCTTGCAAAAGCTAATAAGAAAATCCAAAAAAAAACTTTGATGGATTAAATATTGTAATTTTTAAATCTTTTACCCAGAACTCTGGTTTTTTAGTATTATCTGATAAGAAAATTAAGAAAATACTTTTATTGATTCAATAAATCTTTTCTTATAAAAACACTATCTACAAATTGTTTTTTTATTATGTTTATGCCTGTCAATAATAACATGAAATTAAGAATGGTATCTGGTAAAAGTTTAAACGAAAGTCGAAGAGAATAACAATAAAATGACCCATAAAAAACCATTGTAAACATGAAAACAACATTTTTATGAAGAGCAAACAGTGGGTTTTTGACATACAAAAAACAAATAGGTGCAAAAACAAAACCATGAAATTTTTTTTTTAAATTCTCTCGTTTCATATTATTAATAATATAATTATTATTATATTAATAAATAACATGTTCATATTTGGGTATTTTAAAATGATAGACTGACATATATAGGAACCGATCTTAAAAACATAATTAAAATATATGCTTGCAGAGTGTATTGATTAAACAAGAAATAAACAATACATAATTTTAAAAAGCTAATCCCCTCAATACAAACAATTCGGATGAGGAATTCTTTCAATTGTTCTTTCCAAGCCAAAGCACAACAATTCCCCCCCGGATTCTTTCAAGTTCGAAGAAAATTAGCCCAGCAAATGATGCAGAGAAGGAAAACCGAAATGCCAGGAACAGGCAATTAAAGAGGACCCAATACCAATAGCCTCACCCACCAAAAATCAGAAATCCCCCAACCTTCCGGGCAGGCAGCCAAGCAAACGGAAAATTCATTACAAACAAATTAACAAATAAATCAAATTTCAATACGAAAATTTGTTTGCGAAAACAATTTTGAGACGGGTTGGTAAGTTCTGGGGGATTATTCGGGGGGATATACTTATATACAAATCGCATGCCACGCCCCAACGCGGAAACCGAAGAAAATCGGGGGGCGGAAAAGGGGGAAAATGTAGAATCCATTTGACTGACAGGCGGCAAATCGTCTGAAGCCCAGCCAGCGCACTTGAGAAATCATTTATCTAAATTAATTCCTGTCGTTTACATTTGCCAGAAACAAAGAGTGGGGGTATTTTAAGGATGAGCCGGGGGATTTTCTTCGGGGGTAAGTTGATTTTAAATGGTAAGGAAAACAAAAATCAAAGATTAAGACAAACATTTACTACTTTTGGGATTGGGGTTCCAATTGCCTGGAAGCGAGACAAACTCACGCCCCGAAAATTCTAACCCACTGATAAATGACATGAATGCGCATTTCTGTCGACATCGCGTTAATAACTCATTTCGAAATTCCACAACAAACTCTAACATACGTAACCCACAGCCGACATAAAAAAAGAACAGCGAAAAAACAATTAAAATTGTTCTTAGACTGAAATGGCAACGTTTTCAACCCTTTCAAGGGATCCCAAAAACTCGGTTTACCCCCATATTTGAAACGCAACGGGCGGCTTTTCGTCTGAGGAAAAGTTTTGATACATCAAAATCGCGAGGGAAACGCGCGGTTTTTGACGTTAAGCTTTGGGTAAGATGAAAAGTTCCATTCGAGAGTGAGAGTTAACCCCAGACAACTATATATATATAGTACTAAACTGAGAGGGAGAGTGAGAGAGAGTTATACTTGCTGGCTGGAATAATTGGTTCTGTCAAAAGCAGCAATTATAATGCCTAAGCCCCTCTATAAATGATATATCAAATGGAATATTTGATTACATATTTCATCTGTAAGGCGAGACAAGTGTTATTATTAAAATGATAACATTAATCTTTAATAAGATGGTTAGGTAAGACAATAATAATAATATAGGTAATTATTATGGTCTAGTTTATTAAGCAATTTCTTTAGGAATTTCTTAACATTAATAACAAATTCTAGTAGCCTCTTACTTTTATTATTTTTAATAACTATTTACTTTAAACCCCGCAGATACACGTGTGTGACAATTTCTAGGAACATTTTATATTTAATTAAGTTAAGTATTATATATCATTTGGCATTAATAGACTCTATAACAATTATCTCTGATTGCAAAATAACTAATTAATTCCCTTGACCAAATTTTGATGTGGGGGTTCCAGAAAAACATTGTTTACAAACTCGGGAGTCTTGCGAGCATAGGCCACTACCAGTTTATAGGGCGATAAAAACTTTTGATCCTCATTCTTTTCGCCCTGCTGCAAATTCATTGATATAACAACGTCTATGAAATCATACAGGAATTCCTCATGCAAGTCTATGGGCATTCGCTCCAAGAAAGGACAAATGGCTTTTACATTATCTAAAAATTAAGGTATTATTAATTGTTAATAAATCTATTAGTTGCTAAATAATATTTACTCACCTTTCACAGTCCTGACACCTTCGTAAACAAATACTTCATTGCGTATCTCCACATTGTGCTGAATAAAACCCACATCAGTTAAGAGCTGACTAAATTCCTCGCCAGGATTCAAGCTATGGTGAAGTGGGGATATAAACTGTTCCACATCCTGCATATAACTCGACCACTTCTCATTCGTTTTAAGGATCTTATAGACCTCGTAAACCGGATTGGAGGCCAAGAAGGCCAGTAGAACGTCACCGCCTTCGGGTTTCAGAAGATTGTAGATATTGCCCAGGGCTCCCTTGAGGTTTTGCACCCAATGGAGGCAGTAGAACGAGGTGACATGGTCGAATCGGCCGCTCAGTTCCTCCGGGAGTTGTTCGCATCCTATGTCCAGAACTTGGAATCGAGTACGTTCTTCCCGCTGATAATGCTTGCTGGCATAGCCCACCATTTGACTGGAGATATCGGTGCCCACCAACTGACCCCGGATGGGGAGCAGGGGCCTCACGAAGTCCATTAGCACATTTCCGGATCCCGAACCCACATCCAAGAGGGCATCCTCTCCATCGGAACGCCACTGCAAAGTCGATGCAAACTCGTCCAGAATCAACTTGGCATCGTGCCTTTGCACTTGGTTGGCGTGCTGATATAGAGAGGCCTGATTCATCTCGAGAACTGATCGACAATTGCAGCCGATCTCGGCTTTATATACACCCCGGTCGTGATGTCATCAGACGGAGATTCTAATTTTCTCTCGCCCCAAATCCCGCTCTTCAACTCATGACGTCGAGCTAATTACGTACCAGCATTATTTATTTTTAAAGCTTTGTAATTTTATTGGTTCCGTTAAGGGGAATACGACAAAAAGAGAGAGCTAACACCTAGAGAATACACTGGTCAACAAAATATTTATTCGATCTCTATGACTTAAAAAAATGTCCATAAAAGATTAAATGGAATTTTTGTATGTTACTAAATGAAAGTGCGATTACACATCAAGGAATTTGAAAAAAAAACATTGAACGTGAAAATAAAAACGAATAAAATTAAAGTATAGTATAGTATTTTTCCAAAATATTTCCTTTATATGACAAATTTAAAAATTTGTAAAAATACGTATTTTTAAGCATTTTTGTTTTAACTATATATTACGAAATAATTTCTTACTCAAGAAATTATAAACAAAGTTTATTACAAACTTAAGAGAGCCATAACTAAAACATAAAAGCATTTTTAATTTTAAAAAATTTATTTCCATATCAAATTTATTAATTTAAAATAATTTTTGGTATTAAATATTAAGCTTGAATTTTTTTTTTATAATTTTTAAAAAACTGTATAGTTTTATTAGTGAAATATAATAAAACATTTATTTCTAACAAAAACGTTAATACAAATTGAAAAATTCGTTCTACCAAAATGAAAAATTTGCACCAAAACTTAAATAATTAAAAAAAATTTAACGACTTTTTAAACTTTCATAAATGCTCACGCGACAATAAAAAAAACACTAACAAAACCTCGTGCTCGTTTTTATCTTCAGAAATCGGGCATGGAAAGCTCAAGTTCTAGGTCAATGGAGCTTAGCTAATGCTTCCTTCATAGAATTACTATGCCTGAAGTACGTAACCAGGCATAGTCATGCAAATCGCAAATGAACTTGAGCACACCCCTGGAAGTGAATTCCACACGAAATTACCATAATTTTCATGACCAGTGTACCAGCCTCCAATTGAACAATGGCGATAAGACCCAACAAACGAATGAGAATGCCCAAAAAATAATGCTCATAATTTTCGGTGATCCCGAAAGTGCAGAAGTGATATATTTTTGAAGTACATTCAACCCAAGAAGACATAAAAAAAACTGAAGTTGGTTCAGTGACCTACCCTAAGAATGATTCTTAAATAGTCCCAGAGATATTAATCTATTTTAGGATAAATATAAGTACCTATCAATAATGATTTTTCAAAACAGAAATAGAAATGAATAGGGGGGGGATGTATTTTGTTTGAGTGGGAGACCGGGTTCACCCTTTTCACCTTCTCTGCGATATTCCGGGGAATATAAATTCATTAAAAACATTCCATTTAGCTGCAAATTACATTTGTGTAATTGCTGCCGGGCCCAGAAAGCGAAGCTCATGATATTTGAAATATTTCACATATGAGCAGTACGACCGTTTGATGTCCCTGGGTTATGAATATACTTACATGTACTCCAGACTCCACCTCACGTTCATATTTCGAATTCTCCAACACTCGACTGGCATCACATCCATATAAATTCATTTGCCAGAAGTGACATCAAAAGCCCTCGCTGGGTTTCTGTTTCTGGCTTAATGTGTGTGGGCGTTACGGCTGGTTAATTGCATTTGTCGCAGACTCTTTTTGGCCAAAATGGGCAAAAGGGGTTATTCGGGTATTCGGCTTGCAATTACCGAGAGCTGTCGATTGGCTCGAGCTGTCACAGAGCCACGGAAATCAATTAAATCGTACGAACCAAACCGAAACGAACCGAACGGAGGACTTCAGGATTTCGATTCATCTGGGAGTATGACGAGTTCCTTGCCTTGGGGTATTTTAATGCATTTATATCACATAAATTAATTATTGTTTGAGATAAGGAAGCGAAGGGGAATTTAAGTGAGAGTTGTCTTCAGGATTAAACAATATACTGATTTCTAAAACTACAACCGATTTGCATTTAAATGAACCTTTAAGAAAATAAAAGCAGGACCAACATTACTTTTACTTTTAAAAGGGGGAGCTTATCGTTTTTAGAAAAAGGAATCTTTTATTATAATTACCAAATTCCATATATATGATTCATAACTATACGGTTTGTCAGCTTGAAATCAAACAGCCTTAACATACACATTTTTTAATGTAAATCGTTATCAAATTTTTTTCTTCAGCATTCGAAGTTTTAATTAACCAACTATACATAATATTTTTCGGGGGATTTCACAAAAAATATATATATTTATTTATTTATATTAAATGCTTATAGGATTAGACCCCGAAAACAACATGCTTAGATAAACATTATTGTTTAATGACTAACTTAATAAATTATTATTATTTCACAGGGCCTGTGTGCTCAAAATATAAATCAATTTTAAATATTTTATAGTTACATGATAAGTAGCTTAGGTAATGGGAATCTTAAGGTGCCTTTAGTACTTACAATAATCTTATTTTACAGTCTTCTACTAACTTTACTTACCTTATTCCTTAGTAATCCTAAGCCAATTAATTCAGCTTACACCTTCTTCCAAAACCTCAACCACCCCTTTTGGAATAAACAACAGAAGAAATAAAGAAACGAAAGGAAAAGTAAACAAAATCTCATAGTTTTATTTGATTTCTAATGGATCCACGAGCACTTATTAACCCACCCATCACCCACTGAACAACCCTTAACCCCCAACTCCATTACTTTGACCCTCCTTCCGAGAAATGGTTCGCACACACTTGAAAACTATTTAAAGTTTATCTAACTGAACAGTAGAGTGTAGAAGTCCGTTCTGGTTATTTGTACATGTGGTATGGGGGTTGGCAGTAGGAACAACAAAAACTTTTGCATATGTTGAAATATCAAAATAACAAACAAAGCCAGAAAATCTTATAAAGAGTAAGGGGTTGAGAGTGAGATTCGGTAAGTCACGGGTGGGGAAATGAGTTTTTAATGTCCCAAAGGGGAATTCTTCGGGAGCTGTAGATAACCTTACATATATACACGGAAAAAAAGGGAACTTAAAATATATTTTTTTTAATTAAAAATAGCTAGATTTCTACAATTCTATATGGAACAAACTTTTTTTGTTAAAGATTTTGGGATTTTAGTCAAATTGTTACAACTTTTAAGGAATTTCCAAGAATTCTTTATTCCTCTATAAAACGTTTCCAGACCAGGTTTTACCATACAACGCAAATTAGACTCTCTTACTTTATGGTATAATCAATATCTTATTATATTATTCTTAGACTCAAGATCATCTTAAACTGTACAATTCAGTAAGAAATATCATATTAAATGTGGTTAGACATAAAGTAATACAAAATAAGTATACTTCAATTTACTAATATCGAACCAAAAAATCCAGCAGGTTCTCATCAATCCACTCCCGAAACATGGCCACATCTGTGTAGGTTGCCGGAACATTTTCCAATCCGCAGGAGATGCCCCAGTTCACGATGCCCACCTGCATGTAGATATCCTTATCGCGATCTCCAATGGAGCAGAAAAGCGGGGATCCTGCATCGCCAATACAGGCATCCTGGTTCAACTCACCTCCAGCACAAATCAAACTTTGGGGAAGTTGATATCCCCAGCCCAGCTTGGTCAGCTTCAGCTGTTGCTCACATTTGTTTCGGTTTACTATGGGTAGTGAAACCTTATTCAGAACGGCCGAATTGTTGGGATCGGTGATATTTGTTTTTCCCCAACCGGCAACAAAGCAGCGATGTCCTTCGAACGAGGTTTTCGGGGTCGGCAAGCAGATAGTTCGAATATGCTCCTTCAATTGGAACTTTGATTTTAGGAAAAGTAGCGCCACATTGTTGGAACCACTTCGATAATCAAATCTTTCGTGCCACAATATTTGCTCCACCTGACGTTCCTCAAACTGGAATCCTTCTACATTGGAATTAAAATCCCATTCGCCAGCCCTTACCACAATATCATCTTTTCGTTCAAATTTTACACGATGGGCAGCTGTGAGAACCACATCAGGGGCAATTAAAGAACCGCCAGCCCAGTATTTGCCTTTTTTAAATATAGCCACCACCCAGGGATATTCACCGGGAGTCACCTGATTTTCGGTCATAAACCTTTTCATATACTCTTTCGAATTGCTCTTTCCGCAAGGTTGATTTTCAAGTTCATCTTTAGTAGGATCTTTAGGGGATTCATATAAAAGACATCTTGCAGGAGGTTGCTGGGAATAATCAAAAATATATAACTTTAGATATATCGTATATAAACCGTTTTAATATACTTACCTTTCTTGGAACTTTGCAACAAATCTCAGATGATCTGCATATTTGTGTGCGGTAGGCTAGGTGATTGAAACCCAAAAAAGGTGCCTCTTCTACACAATGTTCTTTGGGAATGCATTGGTAATTACAGGCTTCCCCAAAAAGAACTAAGGAGCTTAGAAAAAGAGCTCCGAGTGCCCAAAATCGTGCCATAACTCTTCGAGTAGAGAAACTAACTAACAATCCCATGGTGTTTGGCCCCGCATTTTATACGTCTCAAATCCGCCAGTCATATTTCCTTATCAAAGCATTTTACTACCCCAGTGACGATATTTCTCTAAATTTTAAAATATGATTCACACATAATAATTAGAATTAGAATAATTAGAAATATAACCATGTACTTGCATGTAAATAAATTGAAAGTTCTGTAGAATGAGCAACAAATATGATATAGTGGATCAGAATATATTAATTAAATAATACAAATTTTTAAGTATTACAAGTCAAAAATCAGTACAAATTTTTAAATGTGTTAAAGAAAAGTTTTAATAAAATCTTGGTCACCTGTCCGCAGTTTACCGCTCTGGTGACGCTATAATTCCCAATCAGTTATAGCCCACTTTGATCGCTGACCAACACTGGTAACGATTGCTGTAAATATAATTATTTATATTTAATAAACCACGTACAATTTTTGCCAGTGTATAAACTCTAATAGAAGAGTGAGCAATGCGGATTTAAAATACAAAGTAAACGGCGATTTGTTGTTATTGATTAGAGCGGACAGACCCAGACAAACATATGAGCTCATCCTTGGCTTCATCATCTCGGTTTCCCCACGAAAATCCAAGGGGCGATTTTCCTGTCTCCCAAGACGACGATGCCCGCAAACTTGATGAGTATTTAAAAGTTTTCCATTGTGTGTTTGATGAATATTTAATTAAGCATAAAAGGAGCGGAGCAAGAAAGGGAAAAACTTTGGCAAAGGGTTGCTACTTGCTACTGTTTCACTGTGTTTTTCTTTTGTTTTCCATTTCCTTTTCGCCGAAAACATCCCATTTCCCCACCACCAATTTTCCACAGCTTTCGTGTGGCGAGCTTAGAGAGTGCAAAAGAATAAAACAAAATCAATTAACGCTTCCTTGTTCCGTTTTTTCTTTTGGTTGGTTGTAATTTTTAAATACCCTTTCTATAGGGGAAAGGGGATTATAAATTTAGAAAATCTAGAATACATTAAAAATACAATTTTTTAGAAACTCTAGAACGCCTTGAAAAGTTTTTGGGGACGCATAAGTATACACGTAAAACTGAAAATCAAGTGAAAAATATTTTTCATAAAATTGTTTTTGTTTTTGAGATGAAATTATTCTCATTATTCTTCTAGAAATTAAATATAAATCATTGCTTAATGCTTTTAAATACTGATTATGTGTTAATATTCTCTAATAATAATCACAAAAAAATTTAACAAGCTATTATAACATTTTGATAAATATTTAAAATTATTTAATATTTAAAAATAATCACAAAAAATACTGACGAGCTTTTAAATAATATTGATTAATATTTTCACATATTAAATATAGAGTACCCAACATTCATTTACCTGCAATCTTCTGGTGTTCTGTTGTTTATATAATTTTTATTACATAAGTATTTTACAAGTTGTGAGCCAAAGGCCAGGCTCAAAAGAGCAGCGAAAATAATTAAATAGTAAAGAAGGCAGCGCGGCAAGGAAAAGGAACCCCCACTCCCAACCAATAATCCCGCCCACTCAACCCTTTGTGCCACTTTCTCCCCACAACACACATTTCTTTTTAATTTTTCTGTTGTTTTTTTGATACTGGGGCCCAAAGAAGCCCACAAATAGCCAAAAGCTAGCGAGTGCTGATGGCAGCCAGCGAAATCCTTTCACATTTTCTATATGTATATGCATATTCCTTCTTATATTAATTTGTTTTTCTTTTTTTGTCGATTTTTTGCGGGCGTTGGGAAAATTAATTAAAAATTAAATGAATGAACGAACGCTGGATAATGAGCCCCTAAGCTGATTTTGCGCTTAAAAGTATGCAATGGGAAAAAATTGTCGAGCTGCCCGAGCATGGCATTCAATAACAATTTCCACCCCACTGCCACGCCCACTCCAGCTTTACAGGTATTTCGCCCACCACCCCCACCCACACCAACAACAACAAAGAAAGGAAAAACTTGCAATTTTTTGTCGCTTTTTTTTGTTTATATTTTATTTTCGTTTAATATCGACAAAGCGCCAACGGAAAAGAAATCAGTGGTGGGGGGGGGTTGTGTTGAAAAAAGAGCATCAGAGAAAAATGGTGAAATTTTCTTTAACGTAACAAAATATTTTTATAAAATAATCAAGTTTTCCTTTTGCGCTGTTTTGTTTGTTGCAAATTATTTTTAGCTTTGTGGAAGAGCGGACGAGGAAGCTGTAGGGCGTTTTATGTGTTCGGGTGTAAATTAAAATCGCCCGCATTGCGCTTTTTTATAATGAGAGAACCGTGGGTGGGGGGCAGGAAACTCAATATTGAAAGACAGAAATAAAAATTAATTAATAATGGCAAAATATTTCAATGGAGCTCACCATCTCACAAAAAAAGAGAGAGCAAGAATCGATGATGAAAGGAAAAATATGACAGGGCAAGGGAAAATTAAAAGGAATTCGTAAAATGATATTTTTTGTCAGAGAAAAGTCAGGTCCTATTGGACAAAGATACTATACATACTTTGATGAAAATATATAGATTTCCTTAAATTCCTATCCAGCTTTATCTAAAAATGGCCTCGACTATCAGATACCCGTTACTCAGCTAAAGGGAGTGCGAGGGAGATGGAGATATGCATGCAGCAAATCGGCTGTTTACGAGATTGCACACCTAATTTGCTTATAACTTTTTAAAGAATAGTCTGATTTATCTGAATTCTTTTTTAATAGCTTTATGTAAGTATGGTAAATGGGGGCTGTATTATAAGAACCTATAAATGTATTTCAAAAATATATTTATTAACATTTTCATACAAAAGTATATATTTCCCTGCTTTTTTAAAGCAAAAGTTTCGTTTTCAATAACGAATTAGCTTTGTCTCAATACATGACCTTACCCCAGAGAGACTGAAAGTCAAATTCCTGGCAAAGCCACCCCTAAACCGCAAAACATTCCTCCTTCCATCGAACGCCAAACCCTTAACTATAAATCCCCACCTCCTTGAAAAATCAGTAAAGACAGGGACGAGAAAAGGGAACACTATCAAAAGTCAATTACAATGCAATTATTGTTTTCACCCCTGCCAAAGGAAAACCAGAAAACATTTTCAAAAGCCATTGAAAACTTTAATTGAAAATATCAAATTATTTTCGAGTTAGCGTCAGCATAAAAAAGTCAAAAAACTCCTTGACTTTGCCTTGAGTTCGATGAGGTTTTTAGGAAAGACCTAGGATGATATTCGAAGTGAATAACCAAAGATACAAAGATACTTGTGTGTATGTAGACCATTAATTACGTGGCCAGATTGTAGAGAAGTGGGGGAAAGAAAGTTGCCGCCAAGAGTCAAGAGTCAGGCCAAATTGTAATGAGTTGGCATTTTGTGAAATTCCCCGAGACACTGGCAAAACCCCACTGAAATATCTCGTTGTAAAGTAGCTGAAATGACATTAAAAAGGCAAAACCAAGCAGAAAGGACACATCCACATCCTTATGGACACTAACCAGCCAAAAGCAAAAGGCACACGCATATGGGGTTAAACCCGAGCTGGGGATAATTCTTCTTCAACACCCCCTCGTTTCATAGTTTACAATCTTATTATCTCTGCTTGGCATCTCAAGGCCCACAGAAACAGCCACTCACCCACACACATTTTCCTAAGGCAATTAAAAATCTTCACACTGTCGTCGATGTCCTTTTCCGGCTTTTCCTACGTTTTAGTCCATTTTGTTATACCCTTGGCCCAACTTGATTTTGTTTATTAAACATATTTTGCATAAAATTCACTTTATTTGCAGTTTATTTCGTAAGAAAATTATAAGGTTCTCAAGTTCCCCCCCTTTTTTTGTGTGACACGCTTGATAGTTTTTCCTTGGGGCGGGAAAATTGCCTTCTGGAGGAGGGATAGTGTACCTTATTCTTTGATTATGTTTGATCACGTTCTGTTGCAAAGTTTATTTGCTGGTAGGAGAGTATTGTTTGCCTGGGATTTCAGTAGTTTGAGATGCATTACAGGGACTGGATGAGATAAGGAGATACAGATTCCAGTGTTCAAAAGGGATTAAGAAAGCAAAGAAATTGGGTGGCAATGCTTGAGGCAAAATAATTTTTTTATGTATCTTGAAAGACTAAAATAAACGTATTATCACAATTACTATTATACCATATCTTTATATATTTTAGTTCCTTCAATATCTTTATCTTTTAGTTAAGAACTATTTTTAACTTTCCATATTTTATCATTTTTTACCGAATTAAAATAACATTTTACATAAAAAGAAGTTATATTTTGTATAAACAGGTTCAATTTTAGGTTATATATTTATTTATAATTATAAATTATAACCACTTTCGTTCTCTTTTATAAATTTAAAAATTGATCCATATTCCTATATATTTTTTAGAAACAACATTTTTTAAGCAAATTAACTCCAAGATATTTATCTCCCTAATCCCATCAGAGCCGTTCAGCTCATATTCCATTTTCGCCACCCCTCACCAACATTTCACGCAATTCTTATCTAACACATTCACTTCAACGTATTCCATAGTACACCCCGAATGCAGTCACACATGAAAATCCCATAAAAATTGACAATAATAAGCCACATATCATCATTTCACTCTCCACACATATGCACAGACGTACGTTCCACTCGATAAGAAGTCAGCAAGGCCTGCAAATCAACCAGAAATCGAAGGCCACCCTTCCAAATCCGAAAACCCAAAACCGAAAACCAAAAGCCGAATGATGAAGAAAATCGCATAAAAAACAGTTCAATGATATAGAAAAATAGATAAAGCTAAATTTGCAAAAATAACAACAAAGGGACTCGGAAAATGGCAGGGGAAATGGCAAATGGAAAACGCGTGGCAGCGAATCAACTTTAAACTAAGCCGCACCAGGCACTTGAGAATCGACAAAAAAAAAATCGAAGAGCACTCGGATCTCCGTGGTGTTGTCAAGTGAATAATGGGACAAATCCGCAGAGTAAATATGACACGTTGCAAAATGGCATTCGATGATAAAAAAAGGAAATCTCGGGGTTCTGAAAAACACTCGAAAATAAAACCAGGAAATGTGCTATATTTTGAAGAATCTAAATTCGTAGAGAAGTGTTTCCAAATGGGGAATAGATATTTTTTTAAAAAGGGGATATTTAAACATATTTAAATACCGTAAAAAGTGTTTCTAAATTTGGAATACGTTTTTTTTTAAATAAAAGTGTATACTTTATATTTTAAAAAATTAAAATTAGTTTAAAAGGGTTTCAAAATGTTGAATACAATTTCTTTTCTTTTAAATACTATAATACTATATAATTTATCTTATTTACCTCTTAGTCTTTTATTACCAATCTTACAATATAAAAACCTTAAAAAAATGTTTTAAGACTCTTTTTATCTCAAAGAAGCATACAAGATATAATATTTTTGCAAGTGAACATACTCATAAACGCCCCAACCATCTGAAAGAAGGTTTTGATGTCACTGACAGACGCACATCCTTCGGGAAAGGTGTTTTGACAGGGCGTCAGGGCAAGTCAGAAGTGCAGACACAAAAAAAACAGGAAAAAATCAAACAGGAGCAGTGGCAACAAGGGGTTAATATTTGCGCCGCACCCTCACCGTGGCATATCAATAAAAAGATCGCTCCGCTGGGCATACGAAATGTTTGTTTGATAAGCCAGTGTGGAGAAGTTCCAGCACTCAAAGAAATTATAAGTAAGTGTTTTGAATCAACGTAAAAAAAATATGGAACTATAACTTATCTTAATATATAAATATAATAATATTCTATGTTTTTTAAAATAAATCTTTTGTTCTTTATGAAGTCAAATCGTTTAAGATTAAAGTTTACTATACTTTGTAAACCCAACATCCAATTTCCTGTTATTTTTAGTTTATATACCTTCTTTAATACAGCAAAAAAGTTTAACAAATAATTTTCCAGTGTCGTAAGTTATTCTGGTGGCAGACCCTTTCCCTCTGAAGTTAATACAAATATTACGCCTTTTTATGCTGAAAGCAAAAAGTGCAAACCAAATGTGGCATAAACATTACTTTTGGAAAAAGGGTTGGCCACACCCACAACTCTTTGTAGCCGCCCCCCAGAAGTTATGACTTTGTGACATTGAATCTTTATGTGTGCATTCGATATGCATTAAAATTCAATAATCATAAAAATAACACGCAGAAAGAAGGCTAAATTCAGCCCCCTACCCCACTGAACTGAACTGAACTCCCCCCAATTAACCCTTGAATGGCAGAAAAGGAAATTGTTTGGCTCTGTCTTTCTGTGGCAATATGAACGTCACATAAATCTTGGCAACACTACTACTAAGTCGCTATTAAGTAAAATTGACCACATATTTTATCTCATATGCGCACGCAACGAAGGCAGACGAAATAGGGGGAGGTCAGAGGTCATGGGGTGTCGGTGGGATGTGGGTGGTTGCCCAATAGCCAAAACAATGTGCGAGTAAATTAAACCAAAGCTCCAAGAAATCGCAAACTAAATAAATTTCGGGAAAGAAACAATTAAAGGAGGATTCTGAAGGAGAGAAATTAAATTATACAGAGTAATAAAATAAACTCTAATTAAAGAAGTCATAGTAAAAGACAAATATTTACTTAATTAAACGGTATATATAATCAATATAATAATATCATTTTAGATTTATCAAAAATAATACTTTTAAGTCTTAGACCTTTTAATAATGTTGTCCCCAAAGTACACTTTCAAATATTTATTGTTGAAAAAGCTTTAACAAGACAGAAAGCAAATGTCGAGTGCCTCGACTAACTGATACCCGTTACTCAGCTAACCAACTACAAAGTAAATATACCTTTGAAGAGGCGAAGAAACATGGATGTTACAATTTGTATCTATGTATCTGGAACTCCGCTGAAACATACTTGCGCCACTTAAGAATGCCAGTTTCCTTTGATCTTTGAATCTGTTTGACTACTCCTAACTTTTTAGATTTTTCAGTTTCCGAGATCTCAGCGTTCATACGGACAGATCATACTTTATATGGTCGGAAACGCATTTTTTCGCGTGATACACAATTTCCAACAAATACTTTTTACCCTTTTTAGTTTTCGAGTAGTATATTTTACTGTTCCTTAAGCCGATTTTATCAAAAAGTCAAAGATTCAATAAAAAGCCTTTAAAGCGAAGCGGATTATCCAATACTCAGAAAGAAGATAATTGAAAAATCGAAGAAGTATCCCATGTTGAACATGTAGAAGGGTCCACGTGCCCCCGATGATATCGACGATGGTAGGGTAAAAGTCATATATGACTCTAGTTTCCGTCTAAAGAAAGAGAGTTGCAGTTGTGCTCTGAAGTTCGGAAAACCATATATTGCCATAATAACCCCCAAAACCCAGGACAAGATAATTCGGACTGGTATGCTTCGTCGCTTCGTCCGGTATCCAAAAAATCGAGGAGCAGTATCTCCTGCTTACCATCCCATACTTACCATTCTTACCATACATACCCCATACTTTCAACGAAAACATAACCCCTTTTGAGAATTTCCTATTGTAATTTCTAAGAGTAAGCAGTTAAGATCAGTGCACAATATATATTTAAATGAAATAAAAATCTGAACTTATTTACTTATATGTAGTTAACCGAACTGGGAAAACGTTTGTGTACCGAATCCCCCGAAACTTTGTTGTTGCTGTTCCTGACTGAATCCTCCAAAGGCTACCTGCTGTTGTTGTTGTTGTTGTTGTTGCTGTCCAATGGAACCGAAACCGCTGTTAAAGCCGAATCCGCCAAATCCGAATTGGGGACGCGCCGATGCTACGGCCACCAGAACAACCAGACATAGAATCTAAAATTAATTTTAAATTAGTGAAAATTTCAGGAAACTATAAGTACCAGGCCTTACCAAGAATTTCATTTTTATAAAATTTGTGTTTAGCTTCCTTGTGAAACCGGCGAGTTTGAGGATATTCTTGTAACTGAGGTCTATCCTGGAGAATCTGGCTATTTATATGCTCTGGTCGACCTTCGAGTCTTTAGATTTAGTGGTGCCCCTACCTGCGTATTCATTTTCGAAGAAAGTATACTATAAAGAGAGATTCAAGGAATAGGCCTCATTATACGGAATAGCAGGTAATAACATTAGTCTCCTGCGTTCAAATGACTTATGAAAAAAGAGAGAATCTTAAGGCTTATTTTGTTTCATTTACCTGCTAGATTATAATACAGTAGGTATTTGGTACACCTTGTTCATGTAGAATAAACATATTTTGAGATCTGGGTTTTCTTTGCTTATGGGTCCACCATCGGGTGCCTCGGCTATTAGATACCCACAAAATTAACATACCTTTGATTAGAGAAACAATTATGTTTACATTATTATATACGTACATTTTAACATTTTACCCCTATCATGGTAATGGTCCAAATAAATATAGCAATTTATTATTATTTTGAATCTTTAAAAATGTGGGCTCTACGGTTTTGGGCAGAAACCTCTAGAATCTGCGTGCGAGATCACAGCCTACATACGGATAGGCGGACATGGCTAGATCGACTCGGCTAATGATCCTGATCAAGAATAGGTATACTTCATGTATACGTATACTTCCTTCTATCTGTGAGATACTTTTCGACTAATATAGTATACCCTTTTACCTTTTACTTTCCCTTTGACTCTATGAGTGACGGGTATAAGTACCAGCCTTTTTATTTCTATGTTCATTCATTTTTATATAAGATACGGATGTAAGTACAATGTACTTCGTACATGCAGTACAGTGATTATGCTTATCGCATCCTCTGGTAATTAATGAAATATATATAAAATCATTCTGTTATACATTTTTGCCCAGAGCGGTTGTACCATCTCATTATGTTCGTGTGGTCTGTAATTTATTTACTTTTTGCTTTGGTCGCACGGGAATTTTACGGATCTTTGGCAGAAATGCAGAAAGGTGACCGATGTGGCGCATTCTGTCTGACCGTATTGAAGCCACTAATCGACCACATAGCAATGCATCAGCAGCAATGGAATAATTACTTAGATGTCCTGGAAAAACTAGATAGTCAGCATACCGCCCAAATGTCAGTCTTGCAGGAAGTACTAACAAAGGTCAGTAGCCCAAAGATGCCGCCCAATAAAGTAATACCACCGGGTTTCGAGAAGATCGGCAAGAGATACTTCTATGTCGAAAGGAATCACCACCAGAACTGGTTCTGTGCCTCGAAATCCTGTGTTGAAATGGGCGGACAATTGGCGGTCATCCAAGATGAACAGGAGCTACGGGATCTTAGGAGGCGAATCACCCACGATACTAGCTAGTGGCTGGACATCAACGATCTGGTAAACGAGGGACAATATGTTTCCTGGACAACCGGCAAGCGAGCGCCGTTTTTAACATGGCAATCCGGTGAACCAAACAATGCACATGAAAGGGAACATTGCGTCGACCTCTACAAGGGCGTTTTTTACGTTGATAAGTGCGAGACGAGATACTATTTTATTTGCCAAGTCAGTGAAGATTAAAAAACGTAATATTTGTACAGCCTTTGTAAGCAAGCGTTAATAAGGCAATTTTAAAATTCCCCTCACAAAGAAACGGTGTTGCCAACACACATGGTTTGTACTTATTCCTTAAGTCTGGCAGCTCTGCAGTATTTTTGGTATCTCCATAAAATACCAAAAATCTTGGTGGGAAAATTGAAAGTCTTTATTGTCGTTGCTGTATTGTATTTTCATTTTACTTCGCCAAAAGGAATGCGCTGCAGCACCACCTGGTGGGAGCCGTAAGCGACGGCAACGCGGCGAACCAGGACGCCATCCAGTGGCTCCTGGAGAAAAATGTTCCCAGCTTGTACGACCACCGGCACTTGTGCGGGCGCCTTGTTCGGTTGGGGGTGGCGGATGGTATGCTCAGGCACGCATATAGGCACCTGAAATTCCGCAAAGATACCTATATGCGTGTCCTCGGCGAGATGGCAGCCAAAGCCACAAGCTCCATATCCAACCACACGGCGCTCGCGCACTACAAGCACGAGTTCGGGAGGATGGAGTACTTGCTGCGGAACATCTACCAGGTGGTGCCAGAGGAGGAGGAGGTGTCCCTCACCAGCTTGAATGCTGACCTACTGGAGGACATTGGTCAAAAATGGGCAATCGCGTTGGAGGAGGCGATGGTGGAAGCCCTGTCGGTGTTCCCGGAGGTCAGGGAGGATGAAGAGCAGGCCCTCCTCCTCGTCGGTAACTTGGTGGCGGTGATGGCGATCACCGAGGACCCGTACGGTCCGTGAAAATAAATAAATAAAATATAACATAAAAAACATCAAACATTTTTCTTATTTTTAATTTTACATAATTTTATATAATTTTATAAAATTTTATTTACAGGGGCTTATTTTTAATTTTAATTTATCTTAGGAAATTTACTTTAAAATCTTTATTTTTAAAATAATAAAAAAATATTGATAAAAGCTTTAAGGCTTTTGATTATTATTATCGATAAAATGTTAAGTTTATAACAGGAGGGAACGGGGCAAGCATACAATTTAGAGCGAGACGACTATGTAAAGCATAGAACAGCGGTAAACTGTTTTTTTAAAAACATTCGGGGAATAATTCGAAGTGCAACAGAACAGAAAGACAGCAACTCAACTGGACCCAAAAAAATAAAGAAGAATTAAAAAAGAATGGACAACGAAATCAACGCAGGTAAGTGAAAAGTGTTATAAAAGTGTATAGCTTTGCCGACCCGACCAGTGTGTACTTCTTATGGCCGGGTCGCAAACATACATTCTCACGGCAGCCAAATGTTTTTTTTTTGCTATTTGACAGCACTTTTTTAGCTCTTTGCTTAGTGTTTACTAAGTATTTGCTTAGTTTGCATAAAGCCAGGCACCACAACTGCTTGGCCACGTCCCGCACATAATTATTTTATTTATTTATTTTACTTAATTAATTTAGCAATAAAGGCAGCCGTGGCAGCAGTGCAGGCTGCTGGATTGGCGGTTGTGGCAGAAGCCACACGTGCGACGCAGATGCCGCCAACAGCAACAATTGCGGCGACCCCCCATATGATGCCACCACCACCACCACCTGGACAATGGTGGGGGGGTCCTGCGCCGCAGGGATATGTCGCGCCGGCACCACCTGGTCAGTGGTGGTATCAGCCGGCGCAGACATATGTGGCGCCACAGCCACAGGGGTATCCGTATCCTGCACAAGGATACGGAGCACCACCGCCACTGTGGTACCCTGCGCAAGGGTGGCATCCTGCGCAGGGATACGTGGCGCCACCACAACAGCAGGCGATGCCACAAGCGCAGGCGCCACCACAACAGGCGATGCCACAAGCGCAGGCGCCACTAAAACCTCCGCTACAAACTCCACCACAGGAGGTGGTGTTGGAGGAGCAAACTCCACCACAGGAGGTGGTGTTGGAGGAGCAGCCGGAGGAGGCCCAGGCTGCCAATCCCCCGTTGGTGGAGCGCCCATATCCAGCACTGGGAACACCCCGTCTTTCGTTGCCTCCCATTGCCGTCGAAGTCTCTAAGTGGCCACAGCTCCCCACGAAGGAGATGCAGACTCACTTCGATGGCAATGGAAGGCAATGGACGTCGGCGCCTTACCAGTGCTGGATGTGCTGGCAGAAATGCGGTCATCCGTTTAGAGCCAGGCGCCACTCCTGCTTGGCCTCGTCCTTTACGTATTCTTGCCCATATTGCCCCTTCAGTTCCACTTCGAAGAACCCTAGTGGGCACAGGGCAAAGTGCAAAGGGGACGGGGTCACGGCGTACGTGCCAGATGGCCCAAATGCCACCCTGCGGGAACACTGGGCGGAGGTTAACAACGGGGTGATGCAGCCTGCTTCGAGGGAGTCGTCGATGTCCCCCCAATCGCGGCAAATGACGGTTATCCTGGCAATGACCAATATTCATCTCCAGCAGATTAAAAAAAATTAAACGCAGATAATTTCCCTAAATGTACAAAAACTGTCTTCAATGGACGAAATCAAATCCAAAAATGAGCAGTACTCCAAGACAAAAAATTATAGTTCTTTAGAGCAAACCCACGACCGACCCGCATGCGGTCAAGAAACACAATGATTGTTTTGTTGACGAATCCCGAAATCGACAAGGGTCTATCGATTTTCTTGAACAACGGCTATCGATGTATGGCCAACGTTGCCATTATTTCAAATGGAATACTCACCTCTGAAAAGTGGCAGGCTCAGTGGCAGCCTCGAAGGGTGGCAACGTTGGCCACACATCGATAGCCGATGTTTAGGAAAATCGATAGACCCTTGTCGTTTTCGGGACTCGTCAACAAGACAATAATTTTGCTTTTATCACCGCAAAAAATTAAAAATTAAAAAAAATATATACCTTTCAGATTGGTGTGCAAAGTACAACGCACAAGCACATTAGGACGCTAAGCTACCAACTTTATACTTGTTTGTTTGTTATATTATCCGAATTTTTGCGGACATGTCCTATTTTCACAGCGAAGTTTGTAATAATCTAATCTAATATTTAGATTCTATTATAATTAATGTATTCAATTATCTAAGACTTAAAATCTTTAAAAACGCTTCATAATAGTTACCTGGCATGGTAAGGCGGTGCATTAAGTCCAGTCTTGTCACTTCACCCTTGGTGCATAGATGCAGCGGCTCGCCCAGGAGGGTCGGCACTTCCAGGTGGGTACCGCACAGCGCCTGCTTCAGCTTTCTTATTTCTGATGATTTTTCTTTTTTTAAAAGACATTGATGTAAGTACAATGTACTTTGTACATACATATACAGTAAAGTGATTATGCATATCGCAACCTCTGGTAATTAATGAAACACATATAAAATCATTCTGTTATACATTTTTGCCCAGAACGGTTATACCATCTCATTATGTTCGTGTGGTCTGTAATTTATTTACTTTTTGCTTTGGTCGCACGGGAGTTTTACGGATCTTTGGCAGAGGTACAGAATGGTGACCGATCGGTATGCCTATTGAATGACCCTTCCAATTAATGTGGCGAATTCTGTCTGACCGTATTAAAACCACTGATCGACCACATAGCAATGCATCAGCAGCAATGGAATAGTAACTCAGATGTCCTAAGGTAAACGAATCCCTGAAAAAACTAGATAGACAGCATACCGCCCAGATGTCAGTCTTGCAGGAAGTACTAACAAAGGTCAGTAACCCAAAGATTCCGCCCAATAAAGTAATACCACCGGGTTTCGAGAAGATCGGCAAAAGATACTTCTATGTCGAAAGGAATCACCACCAGAACTGGTTCTCTGCCTCGAAATCCTGTGTTGAAATGGGCGGACAATTGGCGGTCATCCAGGACGAACAGGAGCTACGGGATCTTAGGAGGCGAATCACCCACGATACCAGCTACTGGCTGGACATCAACGATCTGGTAAACGAGGAACAATATGTTTCCTGGACAACCGGCAAGCGAGCGCCGTTTTTAACATGGCAATCTGGAGAACCAAACAATGCACATGACAGGGAACATTGCGTCGACCTCTACAAGGGCGTTTTTTACGATGATAAGTGCGAGACGAGATACTATTTCATTTGCCAAGCCAGTGAAGATTAAAAAACGTAATATTTGTACAGCCTTTGTAAGCAAGCGTTAATAAAGCAATTTTAAAATTCCCTCCACAAAGAAACGGAGTTGCCATCACACATGGCTTGTACTTATTCCTCAAGTTTTGCAGCTCTGTAGTATTTTTGGTATCTCCATAAAATACCAAAAATCTTGGCGGGAAAATTTAAAGTCTTTGTTGTCGTTGCTGTATTGCATTTTCAACTATTTGAAGTATATACAAATTTTGACTTTTAAAATCACTGAGTCAAAAGCAGACTTCAGCAATTTCAAAAATATTAATTTCAAGGAATAAATGTTTATTACCTACTTGTTTTGTAATTTTGGTAGTTCTTTTTGATAAGTTAGCTTTTTAACAGAATCAAGACGAATAAGCAAACAAGAGTTGTAAAAGTAATTTTAATGCGTTGCTAGTACATACAGAGATAGAAATACAGATTTTTTTAAAGAACGTGGATGATTTGGCGATCACTTAATCACTCAGCAATAAGAACTACTTGAAGTTCGATTCGAAGTACGTTAATTAACTTATTGATAAATCGCCGAGGATATGCAAAATTTGTGTAGCATACCAAAAATGATAATTAAACAAGCCTTGTTCATCGAAAACAGTGAAGGTGGTGTACAGAATAATTTATTTAAAAATAGTTCCTTGTTTTTCACATGCAGAGTAAGTAAAATGGTATGCCAACTCGATTTCTAGACCATTGGAGAGCTGCCAACTTGATTCGTAGGACACTTTTCCCGCTTGTTGTTCGATAGTCACGAAGGCAATCTAGCTATCGCGAGTACGCCGAATAGTGACGTGTACTATCAAGCTCTCTCGCTTATGCTCTCTCATTTCGGAGAGCAAGAGTATAACTATTTTATCTCGCTTTTTTACTGACCCTTACGGTTGCGTACGGTGCTTACGATGGCTTACGTTTGCTTACGTTTGCTTACGTTCAAATACCGAATAGTGACGTGTACTCTCTTCTTTTTTAGCAAAATATAAGCCGCATCTGTACACTTGATTTACTTAAAGTAGAGCCGACTGACAAGCCGCATTGATCAAAAATTGCCAAGATAAACCCTAGACAATTAGACACGTAAGCAGTTCAAAAGCAACACCAAAGATGAGGCAACTGGGTAGGTTTTTAAATGAAATATATAACCAAAAACATGTTAATGATACATTTGAAACGCCCCCGCAGCGAGCATATTGTTGCTGGCTTTTGTCGTGGGCCGGGTTAGCGCCTTTTATTCGCCCACCGATGGCGTTGTGGAGCTGACGCCCTCGAATTTCGACCGGGAGGTACTGAAAGACGACGCCATCTGGATTGTGGAGTTCTATGCCCCATGGTGCGGCCATTGCCAAAGCCTGGTGCCCGAGTACAAGAAGCTGGCCAAGGCTCTGAAAGGAGTGGTCAAAGTGGGTTCCGTCAATGCCGATGCGGATAGCTCGCTGAGCGGCCAGTATGGTGTACGTGGCTTTCCCACCATCAAGATCTTTGGGGCCAACAAGAAGTCGCCCAGCGATTACAATGGCCAAAGGACAGCCAAGGCCATTGCCGAGGCCGCTCTGGCGGAGGTCCAGAAGAAGGTTCAGTCCGTCCTGGGCGGCGGTGGTGGATCCTCTGGCGGTTCTAGCAGCTCATCCGGCGATGAGGTCATCGAACTCACCGACGCTAACTTCGACAAACTGGTCCTGAACTCAGACGACATCTGGCTGGTGGAGTTCTTTGCTCCCTGGTGTGGTCACTGCAAGAACCTTGCACCCGAATGGGCCAAGGCCGCCAAGGAGCTGAAGGGCAAGGTCAAGTTGGGCGCTTTGGATGCCACCGCCCATCAAAGCAAGGCCGCCGAGTACAATGTACGCGGCTATCCCACCATTAAGTTCTTCCCTGCTGGATCTAAGCGCGCCAGCGATGCCCAGGAATATGATGGTGGACGCACTGCCTCAGATATTGTATCCTGGGCAGGTGATAAGCATGTGGCCAATGTACCGGCACCCGAACTCATCGAGATCACCAATGAGTCCACCTTTGACACTGCCTGCGAGGGTAAACCTCTGTGCGTCGTCTCTGTACTGCCACACATTCTGGACTGCGATGCCAAGTGCCGCAACAAGTTCCTGGACACGCTGCGCACACTGGGCGACAAGTTCAAGCAGAAGCAGTGGGGATGGGCCTGGTCAGAGGGTGGCCAGCAGTTGGCCCTGGAGGAGTCGCTCGAGGTGGGAGGCTTTGGCTACCCCGCCATGGCTGTGGTCAACTTCAAGAAGATGAAATTCTCGGTGCTTAAGGGATCCTTCTCCAAGGACGGCATCAACGAGTTCCTGCGCGACATTTCCTACGGACGTGGCCATACGGCCCCTGTTCGCGGTGCCAAGAAGCCAGCGATTGTGTCCGTGGATCCCTGGGATGGCAAAGATGGCCAACTGCCCACCGAGGAGGACATCGATCTGAGCGACATCGATCTGGATAAGGATGAGCTGTAAGGAGCTGTTAGGATCGGAGACCAAGACTGTGCGGCCCAAGCTCAAATTTCCACTTATTAAACATACAAACACTTGCATTCTGAATGATATTCATTAGTCAGCCAGCGTATCTAAATATAAATAATTAATAATTATCTATTAGCCTTTTCTACCATCCTCACATAGATATTAATGAATTGAAACCAGCGAACATAAGAACTATGTACCATAAAATTAATAAACTGTGCAACGAAACGTGTGAATTGTGGGCGAGTGTTAATCGGGGTTACGAAAAAGCACAGGCAGTTGTTACCAAATTGCACAATATTTAGCGGGTTAATGCAAAGTAATGCCAGAATAATATAAGTTTAAATGAAAGGTTTCTTAAAACAAATATAGCTCGGGTATTATAAAGTATGCTTACCACAAGCTCTTTATTATTCGATCTTAATTAGCATAAACCAGTTTATTTAACCAAATTTCACATACTCGTTGTATAGTGGTTTTAAAAAGATGAATCATCTAAAAGTCTTCAAGTTCCAAATACTCATAAACTTATTAATTCATTTTAACTAATATATTAATAGCAAACAATAATGTAGTTTATTTTCTCAGTTGTACCATGGGCAATGGTAAAATCGTTTATTTTTTGTAAAAATTCGCATAAAAATGTCCAAAAAGATTTGTATATGTAAAATTTGATAGGCCTTATTCTAGGTAACGTCTAAAAACGTATTTTGACACAATGTATAGAAGGAAGTCTGGTCTAAATGCACAAATTGAAGACTGCTTAAATGTATTCGTGGTGGCAGATTGGCGCTTATACTATGATTGGCAAAGTATATATTAATTAAGTACTTGGTTTCGTTTAAGTACAACCTGTGTTTGAAGGGACGGGGATTTGCCTTAGCAAGGCATGGGATGGGGAAATTCGAGGCATCACAAAGAGTTCGATTCTGTATGCAAATTGGGCTTTGACGAGGCGGTATATAAAAAGATTGCCGAATTTCTCGGGATTTCGTAAGAAAAGAAACAGGCAACGTGACTCAATTGCCACACTTTGGCTTTGCCCAAGAGAAAAGAGAAAAGGGCAAGGAACAAAGCGGCGTGTAAACGGCCAAGACTACCTGCATAAAAAGAAATAAAAAGGCCAAAAACGCAAGGTAAAAAGGGTCGGAGGACAGGCCAAACTTGTTGAGCCTGGGATCAAGAGAAACAACAGATAAAGAAACTGTCGGGGATGCGTAGGAAACCCAATTTACAATTATGAATGATTAATTCCCTTTCCAGCGAACTCCTCAACTGGTTATTGCTATATACTATTGACCTAAGTGCAACTGACAAGAAATATAAGGGAGGTGTTGCATTACGAAATTGTGTTCTATAATCTTAAGAGATCAAGAATTTATTTGAAAGTAACCCAGATTTTTGTGTGTTACCTACTTCTTTATACAAAATGTTGCTCAATATTAATGAATATGGTGTCTGATATGAGATATTTCAGTCAAATTCGAGATATTTCTTGTCAGTTAGGACACTAGGAGCTAAAATCTGTAATCATTCTTGTCGATTTTCGTTCTGGCTGGCATTGAAGTCTTTTTTTTCGAATTACTAAGTATAAGTACAACTAAACCACGGTCCCTAGGATGTCTATACCTCGAATCAGGCCATCGTATGGTGTTTCTGGTCGGGATAGTTCTCTATCGACTGGATGGAGCGCGATGTGGCGGCGGTGATGGTGGAGGATACGTCCATAAACCGATACTTCTTCTCGTCGCGGAAGAGTAGAGGGTAGCAGATGATGCCGTAGTAGAAGACCAGGCAGAGGACGATGACGGTGAAGATGATGGCGATGATGCCGAAGGTGGAGATTCCGGCTCGGCTGTCCAGGTACTCCTTGGGCGTCGGGGGGGCCGGGGTGGTGGTGGGCGGCTCCGTGGTCTTGTATCTCTTATAACTCTTCGCTCCACTCGCACTGAAAACCAAGCAACTGGCGCCTGCAATAAAACGAGATTGGATTTCTATGAAATCTGCTCGCGATGCGATTTGCTCTTGGCCCCCTTTTTCCCCTTCCCATTTTTCACTTTCGTTCATTCACTCACCTAAAAAGAGCACACACAGCAGGTACGAACTGCGAGACATTTTATTTTATTTAGAATTTACGATTGCACACGAAAACACGGAGCGAAAATCGTTCGTTTGCCTTTCTTTCTTTTCGGCCAAGAAAACGGGACGCAGACGCAGAACAGAAGAATCACAAAGCAACAAGACAAAAACCTTTCGTGTAGGAGTCAGGGATGGTAAGGGGCTGGATATCGATAAATGGCGATAGTTTTCGTTGACGATAGCTAAGGTCACTGCATTTTGAAAACATCATCCAATTTATTTAAAGGGTTCTTATTTACCTTAAATTTTGGGTATGTTAAAAATCTATTTTAGAACCGTCTATATTTATAAATTTATTTTCCCAGCGCTTAAATTAACAATTTAACCTAAATGTAAAGATCTTTGCCATACCAATTTGTTATTAGTTGAACTTATGAAATTTTTTCATATTGCAAAGCTAAATATAATAAAATGATAAATACAAGAATTTCAAGCAATTCGCTGTCTCCAAATATATATTACCAAAATGAGCTTTAGGCCATTTATAAGCCGTGACTTTCTTCACACAACACTACTACCTTCCAGTGACTCAGTCACGCACGCCACCTAGCAACCATCGCCCATCGCCACCGTTATCGATAACTCGACGAAAATTTGCTTGACGAGCGTGTGTGCGCTGCTCTGTTCGTGTACACTTTATTTTCAATTGGTGAAAATTGTTATAAAACTGGCGAGAAAATATGTGAAAATAGGAAAAAGCCTGATTTGGACTCTCGAACTGTGCGTGCGCAATCGAATTGATGACGCCCCAGCCGCGAAAACTAGCTGAAAAGCATAAAAATAACAAAGGCGTTAGCGAAGGAACGACGGGCGAAGAAGGCAAATAGACGCTCCAACCGCTCGTTCCACTGCAGTTGTGTATATTTAGCCATTGCAACCAACTAATTAGACGCAAGTAAATGCAAGTAAAATAAAGAAAACGGCCAACGCAAGGCAAAAGTACAGTGAAAATTGCTGTTGGTCGATTCGATTGTCGGCGCACGAAGACGAACACGAATAAAGGGAAGAAGAAGCGAGCGAAACAAACGAGAAAGAGAAACGAAACGAACGGCGATTTTGCGTTCGTGTGTGCGTGTGTGTATGTGTGAGGGTGGAATATAAACAAAAAATTAACAATACGAAAATCGAGAACAATTGCTCTACTTGGCGAAAAGTAAAATGTCACATTTGCCGCTGGATGCACGGGCCATTCTGCAGTATCTAAATGATTTGGGCTATAGGAATATATCAGCCGAGCAACTCCGTGAATTTCTAAAAGGTAAGCAATCCGTATCCGTACCAGTGTGTGCGTGTGGTGCGGCGTGTGTATGTGTGAGTGTGTGATTTGGGTTTGTTATTTTTTTAAGCACAATGTTTTTTAGTTGCGGCTTTTCGGCTGAATTTCAAACGATTCGTCACCATTTTTCTTATTTATTTCTTTTTCCCCCCACAACGAACGTGCGTTCAAAGCGCAGGCGAGAAAAAGAGCAGCGGCACAGCCAGAAATACGTTGCAATGGAAAAAGAAGAAAAATAAAAACGAGTATTACTCGGAAATTGTGAATAACACACCATGTACACAAATGTACATACACATGGCACAGTGGTTGGCAGCAACAAAAGCCACTCGGGCCGAAAATTTAGGAATAATCGAGTAAAGACCGGCACGGCGACGGAGGAAAACGACATTTGCAAGGAGAACTTACTATGGGATATATGTAACTTTCTGTGGAAACCTAAACACATGGCTCTTCTGGGCTCCACTGTACTGTGTTTTTTTTTTGTGTTTTGCCTGCCTGTCATAGTTGTTGTTGCTGCTGCCCTGGGCATGCTTTTCTGTGTTCGTGTGTGTATTTCGGCCTCCACCGCATTGTCAGCTTCATCCGCAACTTCACATGAATTTTATCCACAAACATACGCGTACAGCATCGGGAAAAATTGTGGGTCATTTGTATGTCTTAAAAAACAAGTAACATTTGAAACAAAAAAACTTGCACATAATTTTGTTAGAGGGAAACTGAAAAATATTAGTTTGGTTTTAATCCATTCTTTTATTTTTCTAAATTATCACTGCTATCACCCTTACCGCAGCTGTAAAAATGAGTGGTGTGTGTTTGTGTTGCCTGCCTTTTTCCCCTCTCTCTACTCTCTTTTGCGTTTTGTGCGTTTTTTTCATGTGTTATTTTGCGCTTTGTGTGCTCGTCCTCTTTTTCTTATTTTCCTTTGTTGTTGTTGCTGCTGCTGCCGCTTGAGGGTTGCCACTCGGTTCCCTCGCGTTTTGCTTTGCGCCACCGCTTCGTGTTGTAATGGCGAATATAAAGTGGGGGCAGAAAAAGTGCCAGCGCAGCGTGCTGATGTGCTCGTTTTTCAGGTTATATTAACGCCCGTCGGTATATGTACGCATATTGGTTGTTGGGCAGATAATTTATTTACAAGTATTTACGAGTGGGTGAGTGTGGAGCGTGGCAAGGTTGCCGGACTAATTGCAAATCTGAGTTTAATATCGGTCATCGCCCATTATGCCTTCGCCTGCTCATTCGCATTGTTTTTTGGAAGACGTCAAAAATCAAAACAAAAAATATAAAGGCGATAAGCAATAAATTGCGTAAAGTAACAAAGAGAATGAACGATAAGATAAAGAATTGATGCATAAGTATATATATACTTCAAATAATTGTTTAAAATGTAAAGAAGTTAAATGTCTAAAATTGAGAAATTCTTATATAAAAATAAATCGAATCTGTCTGGCAGACACTAATTTTAGTACCAACTGTTTCGTTTTTATGCCCCAATCTTACACATGTGTTTTTTCGGGATTATACAGACAACTGGTTTTTAATCGAATGCAGTTGCCGAGTAGAATACGTGTAGCAGCTCTGTGTCACCCCTAGTTTTTCGGCGTGCTGGCAACACCTGGCCGTTTTTAGCCTACCTGGCAACTCGCTGCGGTGGCACAGCTGCTGCTTCTTCTTCTTCCACCCGCTTGGGTTGTGTTCCTGTGGTCCCATTTTAGTTTGGAATTAAAATAAATTAACTCACACTCGACACTCGATGGCCTTTTAGGCAATACATACCGAAATGCATTCGAATGCAGTTATTGATTTGATTTGTGTGTATCCGAATGCAAAATTGCATAACACATCACAACGCGACGCCCACAAGGAGCAAGAAGAAGAAGAACCGCCAGGAGTAAAATTGTCAAGCAGTGATTTATCCGTGTTATTTTATTTTTTTCGTGGCAAATAAGTTATAAAAGCGGTTGGTGTTGGTTTCCTAGCTGCAGTCGAATTTCGAAAAGATCGCATAAAATTAAACACATGAACTTAAATTAATCTGGTGCTTATGACTACAACTTAAGATGGTATAATTGCACACCAACTAGATTTGGAGGGAAAATAATTTTGCGCGTTTCTCATTGCTTTCAAAGGTCATAATTTCTAAACGTTATACCGAACTACATTACAATAAGTAATCAAAAATACGAACTCAAATCTATATACAATTTCAAATTATTTTGTTTGTAAGTTTCATTTTTGTATTTCGAAATGTAATTATATTTAATATTTTTAAATCCAACTTTTGGATCGTGTTTGTATCACTTTTAGTTTTTATAAAATTTAAGCATTATTCCGAATGCATTTGCCTGCATATATCACTATCTGTTATCTACAATCTATAATCGTAATAAGTTCCATAGTATTTAAACATTCCCAATTAGTTTTCGAAGTTCGACTGTTGGTCAATCCCCCAAAGATAACTTATAATTAATGGCGTTTTCTCCACTCTCTTTTTCTCTCTAATTCTGGGTCCTTCGGCTGCAGCTAATTTGCGCCAGAAGGTATGCAACCGCAGTCGGACAAACAAAGCGCCAGCAGACTCGCAACAACAACTAGCAACACAACAGCAGCAGCATCAGCAACTTCCGCAGCAGCAACAGCAGGCACTCCTCCAAAAGTAAAGGTCATCAAGAGCAAACGACCCCTGTGCCACTTTAAGTTCTACCTGGACATTTGCGATCATCAGCTAGCGAAGCGCATTGAGTCCGATATCAAGGCTTTGGGCGGACATCTCGAGTTCTTCCTGAGCGACAGTATCACACACTTCATCACCGATAAACCTGAGGCCACAGGCGGAGCACCCAGGACACCGGGAACACCAGGAACACCCAGCACACCCACCAATCACTATCAACAGGATGATGGTTCGGCAAGGAAACCGAATCAAAGGCAATCAAGAGCGGATGCTATACTGAGTCGTGTGCGTAGAAGCACGGTTGGGGTGCCAAACAGTAGCAATAGCACACCCACCACATCCGTAAAACGAAGCTATACCATCTGGCAGACTGACTACGCGCAACGCTTTATCAAGCGCATTCAGACTGAGCTTAAGCAATACCTTGAGGGTAAGAAGGAAGGTGGAGGAGGAGGAGGAGGAGCGTCATCAACTAGCCCCCATCACATTCAGCTAAAGAAGCAGTATGTGAAGATCGAATCCGTCAAGCGTAATTATAGACCTTACTACCATCTCATCAAGCAGCCAGACGACTGGCCAAAGATAGATTTAAGCAGCGAAGACGGCGCCTTTCGACTACTAACCAAGTCGAAGACGAAGGAGAAGGAGCAGAGCATGACCCGCAAGTCATTGGGTTCACGGACATCCCAGAAAGAGAAACCAGCACCGGGTGAAGAGAAGCCACCCCAGCATCCCGCTTTGCAGCAGCTTAAAAAGCAGTCGGCAATCCCGAATAGTCCGCGCTCCAATTGTCGCGAACTCAAGGATTCGAGTGAGAAACAAGGTGGAGTTTGTGAGATCTGCAAGTTAGAGTACGATATCCTGAATATCCATTTGCAGAGCAAAGATCACGAACTGTTTGCCAAGAATTCGGAGAATTTCCTGGCCCTAGATACACTAATTCGTAGTTCAGCGAATGTGAATCGCTTCCTGGAGGAGGAGCCCGAAGAGAGTGAATTGGACATGGATGTGGATGAATCGCTGAGTAATGAGGAGTTGCAGAGTCCCCGTCAGAGGCCGTCGCCAGCATTGCGCGAGAAATCCAAAAGGATAACCAAGGGAAAGCATTCGTCGGAAAAGTTTCAAGCAGCAGGAGTTGCGTCGCCTCAAACGCCCTCCCCTGGTGGCAAGAAGGTTCTGGGAAATCTACCCGGTAGCCTGTCAGAGCTCCAGCGCCAGGAGCACCCAACAACAGCGGCGGCAACGCCAACAACGAATTCTGGTCGAAGGAAAACGCAGAATTCTGGTCTGTCACCCCCAATAAGAGCCATGTTGCCACCTTCGTCACTTTATAAAGTTGTGGAAACCAGGGAGGAATGTGCCACGCCTCCCAGGGGAAGAGGAAGACCTCCTAGCCAAGTGGATTCGCCCTCGCTGATAGTCAAGTTCCAAAAGATTAGGCAAACCGAGTTGCAACGACTTAATGGAGAGGCGGAGAACTTTATGTTCCCTCGAACAGCGGTTACAACTACGAGGAGCAGTAGTGAGCTGCCCACAGATGTGGATCGGCAAACTACCTCGGATGTGAGGGGTAGACACAGTATCTCTTCCGCCAGCCTAGACACTAGCACCAGCGAGGCGGAGACGAAGGAATCTTCAGGATTACCCACGTCTAGCATACGCAAGCGAGCCCAAGCGGTGGGAAGGCGAAGAAAAGCAGGTGGAGCAGCTGCTCAGGACCTACTGCAACGCCAATTGTCCACTGGGAGTAGTAGCAGCAATAGCAACCAGCAGCGCTTTCCAAGCGCCCCCATCCAGCCAGAAGAAGAGCCTCAACCGCAGCCACAGCCGCAGCTAAAGATTAAAATAAAGCAGGAGCAAGTGGTGGCCACCAGGAAGAGCAGTCGCACAGCCACGGCCATTGTGACAGCGGCCACTGCCAGCAGTCATCAGCAGCAGCAGCTAAGGCAGACCACCAGCCGGAAATTGGCCAATAAACTGGAGGATCGGATGGGGGAAACAGTAAAGCCGAAGATAAAAATTAAGAAGGAAGTGATCGAAATAGAGGAAGAGTTGGAGGATCTGGAAGACCTGCTGGATAATGAGTTAGGGGAGGAGTTGGACAGCAGTTTGTCCTCTGGCAGCGATGAAGACTATATAGCTGGCAGTCAACGTAGAGCCACGGCAGCCACTCGCAAATCTACGGATACTCGAGAGCAGAGGGCAGCAAGGCGGTTATCCAGATTAACCATAAATCGTAGCGCCGGAGAGGTAGAGTTGACTGAAGTCAAGTCATCGCCCACGAGAAAAAGTCGCGGAAAGAGCCAGAAGCCCTCGAGTCCCACGAAAAACAAGGCCAAACAAACGAAGACAGGGCCACCAGCGATGGATTTGTTCTTCGATTGCAGCAAAAGTGAAAGGCTACAAGAAATGCAATATACTTTCGAATCGCTGCCAAGTGGAGAGCTTTGGAATCGGGTGTTCCTTCGACAGGATGCGGGCGAAGAGAACTATTACACGTATTACGGTAGCACTAACTATAGGAAACTGCCCTATGAAATGGGTCCCATACCCATGTCCAAAACATTGCCGGCACACAGTTGTGCCATGTGTTGCGCAGAGGTCGAGGAAAAGCCGGAAAAGGCAGAAAATCTGAAGCAGGAAGACCAGAAGCCTGTGCACAAGAAGGAGCTTAAAAAGGAGGAGGAAGCTGCTCAGGCGTCCTCATCTGCGACCTATAAGAACAAAAAGCTGCACCTTCTCCAGCGTTATCAGCAGGAACAGGAGCAACTGCAGCAGCTGGAGGGGAATTCCCTAGCCACTGCCATAGCCAAATGTGATAGCAAGGCCAGCACCCCAGAACTACTGGAGAGGGAGTTCGCCTCGGGTTCTCTGGGAGATCGAGTGCAGCTGATCGAGCGAGTGAGGAGCACCTCCAGTTCCAGTTGCAGTAACAGCCAGCGGAGCAGTATCACCTGCAGAAATAAACAGCTGGCGCGAATTGCCGAGTTGCCGCCTAGGAAATCGCCCAGAGAACATGCATCCACATTGGCTCTGGTCAGTTGCATTATCCGGCAAAGGCAGGACTCTCAAAGTAAAACGAATTCTGAAGCAGAAGAGCCACCTCCCCCTGTGGTTGCGCCAAAGCTGAAAACTCCTATGAAACAGGAACCGATAGCACCTTCATCCCCCAGGACAACTCGTTCCCAAGCTGCCACTCCCGTCGAGGAGCTTCGATTTGCCACGGAAATAAGCGAGACGGTGAAGAGGATGAGGCGCGGGCAGAACAAATACGATCACTCTCCGCCCGCACCAGCGCCAAATCCCACGCCGGTAACTTCTTCGCCAGCCCGAAGTCGTCGCCTGACACCTGCCGCACAAAATCTGAGTCAAAGTTATTCGCGCCGCCTGGAGTTCTCAACCAGTCAAAGGGAATCATCAGCGAGTGCTCTGTTGGGCAAGCGTAACAGAAGAATGAATCCTCCGGTAGCCGGCACAGTGCGTCCCACAACTCAACAAGCTCCCGGGACGGGTGCCTTTCGCGGAGTTCGCAAATTACCCAGCAAAAAGGGACTGCTCGAATACGAAATGGAACCGTGTGCCCTTAAAGCTCTGGATCAAGCCCGTCAGTATTGTAATCCAGGTTTCGTTGCCTGGCAGTTGGACAAGTATCTAGAGCTAGCTGGCAAGGAGTACGATCTGGATGAGGACGAACTGCCAGTGGAGAAGGAGAGCGAAGGAAGAGAAGAAAGGCTTGTCAATACCCCGCAGACTCCACCACCCACTGATTGCTTTACCAGCGAGTTCGACCTGTGCGATTTGATCTTAGCAAGCGCGTGCAGTGGCGATGATGAGGAAGAACTAGCCAAAGGAAACCTACCAGGCTCCAGTCGACGAATGAACAATCTCAATCTGTATGCCAGCTACTATAGAAAGAAGAAGAGCCTGAAATCCAATCGAACGGGCTGGCCAAAGGCTCAGCGAAGGCGGAATGCTGGCGGATTAGGAGGTGGTCGATCCTTGCCAGATGAACGAATAAATTTCCAGAAAATGGGTCTTGCCGAGCTTCACCCCATAAAGCAAGAGCCCATGGAGACGGAGGAGGAGCAGACCACCGCCACCACCACCACAACCACAACCACTACGACTTCAGCGAAGAGAGAAAACCTGCTTAGCAAAGAAGACGAAGATGATGAAGGTGGCGGCACTCCAGGCGGAGGAGATGGCGACGGATCACCTGCCGATGATAAACAGAATTCCCGAGAAGATGCCGTTATGACGCCGCCAGCGACCGATATTGATGAGCAGGCTGAACCGGAGGCGGATGATATGGAAAGTCTGCCGGAGGAAGATGAAACCATGGCGGATTCTGTGGATCAGCAGCAGGATGATGAGGCGGAAATCGAGGCCACCGATGCGGATGTCGAAGAGGAGGAGGAGGAAGAGGATGAAGATGTCTTTGAAGATGCCTACGAAGAGCAGGAGATGGGCGAGAAGAAAACGGAGCCGCCGGAGAAACGAGCACGGATACCCTCCATATCCGTGACTACGCCACCTGAAGAGCACTCCACGCAGGGCAAGAAACTTCTGCTCACCCTGCACAACGGCCAGAGACTTCAGGCCACCTCGACGCCAAGTACCGGGCAAGCTCAGCAGCAGAGGAGAACGCCACAGCTAAATGGAAGCCTAGGCAGCTGCATTTCGCCGAGTGAGAAGTTGGGCGATAATTCGGACATCTTCACCGTCTCTTCGGATGGACTGGATACCGATCTGGATCTGAGCAACACCCAGGCGGGCGACTCCCACGAGCATTGCCCGCACCAGACGACGCCGAAGAGGAAGTTCGACATCTCCAAGTATGCGCCACCGAATAATGGAAAGGCGGCGAGCAGTTGTGCTGCCGAAGCGGCGACGGCTGCCGTCAAATCCCTGGCCATCTCGCAGTTCCTCAAGAAGGAGGTGCGTGTCACCTGCCGGCGGCTAAGGGCGCCATTCCGACGCTTTCGATACCGCCGCTGAGCATCCCGTTTTTGTGTGTCATCATAACCATCATCCAGATCAAGAAACGCATCATTCAGCACCAATCACCACGTTTAGCTTTTAGTGTGTACAGCGACGATGAGTAATAAGTTTCAGTTTTTAGGTATTTTTAGGCCACAAATCCCTCCAAAACCACAAAAACAAAGCGATTTCAATTCGGTCACCTTTTCAAATTTAAATCAGGATTAAATTTGGCGAAGTTGAATGAATATTCAATGCACTCGCTTGTTACCATCTTTTGAGACAAAGCCACTGCCAAAATGGTTAAAAGCAAAGTGCATGAATAAGTTTCAAACCGATTTCGTCAACTTTATTCAGGTTACAAACACGAGAAGACCCAAACCCATCCATCAACTAAATGTAGCATAATTAAAACTCACACAAATCACACACTGAAATACGTACATAAGCCTTAGTTTAATCTTAGTTTAGCTCAAATTCCCCGACCCCTCCAAAAAACAAACCTCACATCAACAATTTCGGACTATTCCAAAATCTCTCATTTTCAATTTAGCTCTTAAGTAGACAAGTTTCCATTTATCGTTTTTGTTTTTAACTGTGGAAATCACCTATTAAAATGTTTTCATTTTCTTAGCCATGTACTATTATCAAAGTCAGCGCTCAAGCGAAGAAAAAAAAAAGGAAAAAGTAAACTATGTAACAGATAAAATAAATTTAAACAAAAAACCAAAAGCAATTGTAAAAATATTTAAACAAAGAGTAAATTAAATTAAATATTCACTTAAACATACACGTATCAGTTTTAATTTATTGAAAGCATATCGAAAGGGTCGATAGATGAATTTTAGGGCCTTAGTTGTACAAATTTAATTTCTATTGATATTTAAATAATGTGAAATTTCAGTTGTTTAGATTGTTTATAAATATTATTATTTATAATGATAGGTTTTACATTTTCTAGGTAGCCGTTCCTAAGATTTTTCAGCATATTTCCAGCTTTGCTTAGTCGTTATTTTCTTCTTTTACATAAAGGTAATTTCATATTTAGGGTATACAATCCCGATTCGCCACCATTAATGCCGCACCCATCACATAACCTAGATCCGACATCCTCATTCCCTGCTAATGGCCACTTCTTTGATCCGATCCCCTTCCCATTTAGACTTGCGCAAGCTCATCAAGTATGAGGAACGTCTGGCGGAGAACGCAAAGGAGGACAATATCAGGGGCCTGCATAAACGCGGCACCGTCAGCTCGCGTGCCAAATTGAGTGGAGGAGATAAGGATAAGGAGAACACGGCTCCTCCATCGTGTCCATGTTCATCTGCCAAGGAGAAGGAGTCGAAGACTGACCAGGATGACGACCAGCAGGAGCGTTCCGATGGTGGCGCTGGATTTGCAGACCTGGCTCGACTTTTTAAGGAGAAACTCCTGATGGATGCATCTGTGCCGCCCACGGCAAGTAATGTTTTGGAACCCGGAAAGCGTCGCAGTCGCAGCAAGACCCGTCAAGGAAAGGAACCTCCACTGTCCAGTGGCGAATCGGAAGCTAATGAGGACCGTCCCAGGATGCAACGCCGACGGCGTAGCAAGTCGCATCCGCGCAGCGCCAGCCGGGGACGTTCTTTGGGTAAGTAGTCTATACAATATGATATATCTAAATATTTATTTAAATAAATACATTTGTAACTATTCCAGCTCGCCGTCGTTGCAAATCCAAGCACTGCGATCCTGTGGCATTATTCCAATACTACCAGAAGGAGTGGGCCCATTTCCGCAGCCAGATTCCCGGCGAGAATACCCGCCACGGGGTACACCACAAGCCAATGGTTCCGAAGAAGTGAGGATATATTTCCAATGCAGCTTTTCCATAAAAAACCATACTTCGATTTATTCCGCTGTTCAACTGCAGTCATTATTCCCATTTATTTATATTACTGACCATTTTGAACTCATTCTTATACACAGAATATTGAAAAAATACTTAAGAAATCGAATAAAATACAAATTCTAAATGTGTGTTAAATAAATACTTCAAATTTGAATTCTATTTTGAGTTTATTAAAAATCAGTTTAAGCATTTATTTAAGAGAAAAATTATTGTATTTATATATACCTTGTTTATGCGTAGGGTATTCAGTTTTTTTTATTATATCAATGAAATTGTCTTCAATTTTTGGATCAGCTGTCAAAATTTAATTTGAAATTAAGAAAATTATACCTTTACCTGGCAACTTGAACACCCTGCTGTTGGTGAGCAATTATTAAAGGACTTGCTGCAATGTTAGATCGTCGCCGGAGATCCCAGCTAAGGCTGGATCCCTTAATTCCCACTCCAACAAGAACCACTACAATGCGAAGGACCCGTCGAGTGTGCGTTAATTTTGAAGCTAATGAGCCCCTAAGAACTCGAAGAAGACGAAGAAGGGAGTTCCTCCATCCTTACTTTATGACCTACCCTCCAATTTATAACCCTATGCAGCTGGGACATCCATGGGGCCTTGATTTCTGTCCCAATGAAATGCCTTATGGATACGGAAATTTATTTGAATCCACAAACCGTTTAAATGCAGGCGAGCAATATGAATGTAATTCACTAGGAGCATTACCTACTCCAGAGGAAACCCAAAATACATCAGGTCCCGAGATTGTTCATGACGTTAAGGATATTTTGATGGGATTGGATGGCTATTTGCAAGCGGAAAAGGTCAAGCTTATCGAAACGTGTCAAGAAAAGACCAATACCACTGAGAGCCTTGAGAATCAAAGCCCTGATCCCAAGGAAAGCCAGCTCTCTGTCCTGACCGATATTATGTGTGAAACCATAAGTCGATTAAACAGCTATATAGGCAATCATTCCAAACAACAGGAGTTTCAGTCTCCTCTAAACCCTATGAACCAGTTCAGTGGAGGAGTGCCACCTGTCCATGTGTTGCAGCTACCGGTGCAACCAGTGATCGTTCCATCATATCCATCTTCGGAAAACTATCCATCATCTGAATCCTTTTTTCAAAAGAAACCCCAACTGGAACGTTTACCTTGGTTGAAGGAGCGAAAACGTAAACGTCCTCTTAAGTCCACTACCTATATACACATGCAGAATCAGGAAAGTAGTACTGATGACCTGCCAAAGATTTTGGAAGCATCATTTTCGACCAATAACATCCCAAGAACCGTAAGACAATTTACTAACGATGCTGGCACCACCATGTGGTGTCCCATGGATTGCTGTAGGCGATGTTGCGGTGGGGTCAGGAGTCAGGAAGCCTTTTCTTCTACACAGGAAAGGATACCAGAAGATCCTGGGATTGCTTATTCCTTGAGATCAACTGATGTCTTTCCGCCTCCTTGCCTCAAGGCTCCACCACCAAGTATTAAATCAGAGGAAGAAAGCTATGATCAGGGACAGTATTATCAACCAAAGGGTGAATCCATCTACCTACTTGGCTCTCCTCAATCATCTAGTTATAGTTCCAGTTGCGACTATCGCCATGAGGCGGGAAATCTTAGATATTCCTTTATAGAGGAAGAGGAGGAGCAGGTGGATGAGGATGACTGGTACCAAAGTGCTAGCGATAAGTTAGCTGAACTGGAAGTGGAGCAAGACTTCTTTAGGCAAACTCAAATGACTACTAAAGAGCAAAACCTTCAAACTGATCCGGAAACCTCCAGTGATAACAGCATTGTAAATATAACAACCACTAGCGATAAGGCTCTCAGCACCACAGAAATAAATCCAATAACCAAACGAGAGCCAATGAAAATTGAGAGGATCTGCAAAAAGTCTTCTTTGAAACAGCGCCTTAAGCTTAAAAGTGGGAAAAGTACTCACAAAGTAATGTTTGAAAAAGTGCTGCACACCGAAGGAGTGCAGGTCCAACCGGAAATGAGATCCACGGGAACGGATCCAATTCCTACAATACCCAAGGTCAAGAGAAATTCTTGCAAGCAGATACGCTCTACCTTTAAGTCCAAAAGATAAACTAGGCAACTGATGAAACAGACCATATGAGATTATTGAAAAATGGCAAAAGCAACCGTATACTGTCATATCAAATTCAACAGATCTGAAATTATTTATCAACTCCTTTCGGCTCTTTTCGTACTGACCTGCAAGGGCTTGGTGGTGATGACTAGTAGAACATTATAATGTTCTGTGAGCAGCCGGCGCCAGAACCGGAGAAGAAAGTCTGTCGCTGCAAGAATTGTGTACTCCGCCATTCGGATATCCTTCCCTGGCCCGAACCTCTTGGATTCATGGCTGAACGAGACAATGATAAAGATGGCCACAACAGTCGTCGGGTGTCCACCCGAACAATACCCTCGATGGACAGCGTCTATACCTTAAGAGATGGCACGGAGAAGCAGCAGAACGATCCTTACAAAAATCAGAACAATAATCGTAACGATCCGACTATATCTAGTTATCCGGCACCATATAATCGACACGAGGGCACCACTCCTGCAAACCAGGGGGGTACGACTCCAGCTTATTATGGAACTGGTGGCAATACGCCAATAAGGACATTGCCAACACAGCAGCAGCAGCAGCCAGCTCAACCCACCATCCTGCTGATTGTGGTCAAGTGAGGAATAGGTATCTCCAATCTCTGTTCCGATGAGAAACTTTTCGTTTTCAGCAAGAACGATCCACCACCGGGCAGAGGGTACCCCGGGTACCCTGGTCCAGGAGCTGGGTATCAAAGCCAAGGACGAAGCCCAAGATATCAGGGTCAAGGGCCATATCAAGGTTTAGGTCCCAGGGACTTTCCAGGTCCAGGAGGAGGACCACCAAGGTAAACAAAAGTTTGATCGTTTCATTTAATTATATTATAATAGATCATAACATACCACTTTATATTCTAGATATTACTATCCACCACCTGGACCTGGAAACGGACCCAGGGGAAGGCCAAGACCTAACTATGAACGTGAACATGTTCGCTAGTAAGTTTTCAAAAAAAGTTCTTTTAATTTGTATATAATATGGGAATCTACAACTGTGCTAAACCCTTTCCTACCTACAGTAATCAACGTCGTTATAGGTATGTATAGATCCCATAATTCAAATTTAATCACAAATGCTAACTAAGTCTTGATCATCCACAGCGACGGTTTGAGTAACAGTCGAAATGGGTAAAGTAACGTATTAAGATCCTTAAAAGATGTATGACTAATTTTATGTTGATAGGTACCAAGATAGATACCAGGATAGGTCCCAGGATAGATACCAGGATGACTGGAACGGACAGCCAAGGTAAGATATTTCCCGATATTCCCAAAATATTTTGATATATCCTTTTAATATATCCATATGTTTTTAGATATTCTTATGCCGGCCAGCCACGAATACTTCGCCGTCCAGAAGAGCGACGCAATTGTCGCTGTGGTCTTCCAACGGAGAAATCTCAACCGGAAAGCCCGCCAAGTCCACCAGATAATGACGATGTCCTTCGGGATCAGCTTGAAGCAAGCAATAAAAAGAAAAGCAAGCAACGCCTAGTGGGCAGCGGAATTGGCAATACAGAATCGGGGAGAAATGGAAATATGGGGTCACCAATTAACACAACGGAATATTATGCAGATAGCGAAAGTCCGCAGGAAGTGATTGTGACCGATGCCAAAAACAAGACATACAAATGCATACAAGTAAAGTCTATAGATCTTTTTAGGTAAATAAATGATATATTTATTTCCAAAACAGGTACCTATTTGCATCTCAACTGGAAAAACGAATACCTGTCGCTGTTGCAAATGTGCCCCCCTCGAGGATCCGGAAAAAGAGGAATCATTGGATGAGGAGGCGGAGTGCGTGTGCAATCAAAATGGAAAGTGCACCTGTGTTCCCGGCGAAATGTTCCAAGATGAAAATGCCTGCCAGTGCGATCTGACCAATTTGGAGAGAATTCTTCGAGAACTAATACCAAATACCGATTGCATGTGCTACTTAAAGAAGAAACGACGCAGGCGTCGCAAGAAGTGGACTCCAAAAGTCTATTACGATCGGTTTGCCAATCCTCCGTTTGTCCTTAATCCAAAACCCAGATGCCTGGATTACGGCATCAGTCCTTTCCGTAATCCTTGCTATAACCCTTGCTGCTGTGCGCCAGTTGGAAAGAGCTGCTACAACTGTGACTACGGCTGTAGGTGTTAGGATCACATTTTTCGATGATTGCTGACGATTTCCGACCATCCAACAGATCCTCAATATTTTGTCAGCTGATGCCAGAAAACTTCTTGCTCTGACGTTTTCTGACAATTTTTGAGGATCTCAGATAAATATAATATAATGTCAGAATAAAAACTTATCTTATGAGTGATCTAGCATATCCTATCTTTTAATGCAGATCTCTATTAAACCTTCCAGAATACCAATAAACAAAAAATAATATTCCTACAGATGATTTTTGAAATTTTATTAATGTTAGAGGATAGTAGCAAGAGTTTTTAGAAATCTACAATATATATTATGGTTCCCTCCTGTCATCCCTCCCTGTAGCTTAATTTTTATAAAATAAATATTATGGATGTATCTAAATATTTTGTGATTGCTTAGTTTTAAATGTCACATATAACCAGAAATGTAACTGAGCCTCTGAGCTGGCATTCCTGACTTCCGCTCCTTTGATATGACTGGCCTAACCAGAAGGCGTCGCACCGCCCAGCAGATCCTCTTGCGACGAGCCTTGAATAAAAGCGTTAGCAGAGACCATGCACCCACCGAATTGGTCCAGGGTGACGGTTTGGAAACCCCTCACCTGATCGGGAACTTGCAGCAGACCAGTCGAATTCAGCAGAGATCCTCGTCGAGAGCAGTGAGGAAACTGCACAGGATTTTGGCAGCCAATCCTTTTAGGATTTTGAGTGAGAGGAAAACAGCAGGAAAATTGCCAGGAAGTGAACTCAAAAAGCAGGACTCTCGATCCTGGAGGAAACTAAAGCCAAGTGGTGAGGTTAAACCATAATTACTTCCCTCTTCTAACCAGTTTCTTTCCAGAGGATAAACCAACCTTAAGCGGTCACAGTTTGAAACCTAATGAACACTCTAGGGGCAGCACTCGATCTCGACACAGTTCCTCCACTTATCCCTCCACCTGGCAGCTAAATCTCAGTAGAGCCAAGGAAGAACCGAAGGAAAATCCAAACGGATCTCTTGAGGAGATTATCAATTGTTCGATTCTCAATCGAACGCCCTATGATCACAAGCTTAATACGCCCCTCAAGTCGGATAATTCCTGTCAATGCGCTATAAATAAGAAAGCAAGAAGAAGGAGCAGGAAAACCAAAGTGGTTTCTGGGGAATGTAATAAAAGAAATCCCTCGGAAGAAAAAAATGTCCAACTAAGTAGCCTATTCCAAAGATTGAAAGAAAGAGTCTACAGTGGCGAGGAATTTAGACAAGTTCGAAGGGTTTGCAGAAATTCATCCAAAACCAGCGGAAACTCTAGGATATCTTTCGATTGTAAGAAAAATTGTCCTGGACGATCTTACAAGAATTATGGGGGCTATAGTCCCTCAGAAACGGATACTGAAATGCCAGCTGAGTACCAACCCAAGCTGCAAAGCCGGTCCGATTATCTAAACAAAATAGAGAGAATCAGCAAGCCCCCCTCAGGATTAGACAAGAAGTGGAGCCTTAAACTGCCCAGCAATACGGAAATCCAACAATATATGGACAACCCAGCCGTGGATCAACCCAAGTACAATCCTCAAAATCGGGAGGCACGAAAAAAGATTTCTCATTGCTATTGTACAAAAGGAAAGAGAAACAGCAACCAAGAGCCTAGATCGAAAAGACGTGGTCTAAATAACTCTAATTTCTCAAATGATTCTATACTTGGTAATCCAAAATATGGGGATAAAATACCTTCACAAGCTAGCTTATTATCGTCTGAAAAATTTTCTCAGCGCTTTAATGATATAGAGGGTGAAGATAATTTAAGCCAAAGTGAATTTGGAACATCAAATGTTTATCAACAAAATGTTATATCTTATGAAAAGAACACTTCAAATGTTTATCAAAGCAATAAATATGAAAGTAAAAGACGTCCTTACTCTGACCGAGATGAATACGCTTCAAATGATTCAGATAATCCGAAAACAAGGACATCTGCCGAGTACAATCAAACGGATAAAGGATCCTACAATGCCAGGAATCTTCAATCTTCAAAGTATCGAAAAGGTATTGTTGTTCTGCACATAATTTAATTTTGACGTTGATTAACTCATTTATTTTGTGTACAGCTGGGGATCAAAGAACCACTCCAAGTTTCAGTTCTAAGGATCCATCTCTAGGATCCTTGAAAATGGCGAACGCAGAGGAAGCAGGAAGAGTAAAAAACAGTGTTCCAAAATGCGTTGAAGCCATTACCCAGACTTCTGAATTAGTTATAACCTATAGAAACTCTTCAGAAATGACTTACAATGCAAGACAACCCAAGAAAATGCAGAAAAATTTAGTTAGATCCAACTTAGGAACGTCCAATCAAGAAAATGTCAAGCAAGTACAGTCAGGTAAAACTCCGAAATCCAAACAACCCCAACAAGATAAGGCACCGCTATCGAAACCAACTGGCTTAAGTCTAGTACAATCCAATTCTCACATAATTGAATCCCCTGAAGAGCAATATGGCGTAGTACAATCTAGTCAAGTAGAACTTGAATCGCCCCAAGAATCCTTTCAATCGCAAGCAAACTCGGTAAGATCCAATATAGAAACACCCAATCAAGAATATATTAAGAAGGTAAAATCAGGTAAAGCGACTCCGAAAAACGAACAACCCCGACAAATGAAAAGGAAACCTTCGAAACCATCAATTCAATCTAACCAAAGTAAGCCACAAAAATCAGAACCCACTGGTTTAAGTCTAATGCCGTCCAAATCCTTTATAAATCTATCCGAAGAAAAGCAACATCGTCTAGTAAAATCCAGTTCCTCAGAACTAATAGCACCTGAAGCTACTGCTCCAAAAACTAAAAAGGTAATTCGTACTCGGAAAAGGAAAAGAAGTCGATGTTTCAGTTGCTGTAGTCGATGTAGTACTCGAAAAAGATCCATGAAGAAAGCTAACCCATCCGATAAAACTAAAAGTTCGATGTGTGAGAATTGCCAATGCAAAATGCCGACTACAAAGTCGAAAGAGGGAATATCCAAATTGTCAACTAGCAATGGCAATTGTGATGTTCGGGAACTATTAGATATTTTGCAAAAAACTGTAGCAGGACTGGAGAAACAAATGAATAACAGAAAGGGATTTAAAACATCTAAGAACACCAAGTCAAAATCAAAATTAAATGATGTCCGTGCACAACACCTTTCTTATCCACAAGATAATTATAATTCGGAAAGAAATAGATTCGATGAAGGTATGGCCACTTTTCGAAATCAACAATATAGTTCAACTACTCCTACCAATGTTGAAAGAACAAGGAATGTATACCAAACTGAGGATTATAGCAACAGAAGATTTGGTTTCGATGGGGGAAACTCATCGAATATTTTTCGAACTAATTCGTACACGGGCTTTAGAGGTCCAAAATCTTCAAGTTACGGAGCAAGTCCAAATAGTGTTGAAATATCTGCAACTACCTATCAAAATAACCCAATTCAAAGGACAGTTATGCCTGAAAATGAATCTTTTAATAAAGGTTTAGGTCCTCGCTCTTTAAATAATGAAGCAAGTCTAAATTATAGTCAACCATCAGCGAATAACAATCACAACAACACATTTCAAAGGGAACCATTTCCCCAAAATGACCGATTTAATAATGGATTCAACGCAGTCAATGATGAGGTGCCATATAGGAATGAAGAACCATATAGAAAAAATGAATATGATTACCCCAAAGAAATAAGCGAACGTAAAAGTCAACCGTATCGAAACCAGGAACCCTTTAAAGAACCCATAGGCATTACAAATGAAACAAATGGTCAAACCATGGGATATTATAATAATCAAAGTTTTAATCAACCATTGATTCGAGAGTGTCTATGCACTAGGAACAATCCCCAAATGGAGGTTTACGATCAGAACCCTTTTGCAAGGAAGCCAATGACGGATTCAGCTTATAGCCAAGCTTCAAAAGGTACAACAAATTCAGGAAGACCGAATCCAAAGGAAATATGCAGAGGACCAGAGTTTTGCCCATATCGAAGTATGTACAATGCAGATGATGGTCAAAGAAACAGAGGGCCAGTAACCTTTCAAGATGTACATCCAGATATACCTAACTCAGAAAGCAGGGTCCAAAAGCCTCTACAAATATGTGACAATTCTATTTGCCCTTATGCATCACAAAATTCTAAATCGTGGAATAGTCCAAGCCTTCCCATTTCAAATCAAAATCAACCTTATCCAACTAAAATTGACTCACCCAAGTGCGACCCTGAATGTGTTTATGAGCAATCAATAAATTCAGGGTCTTGCAAAGGCCCCGATCATTGCCCATATCGGAACAATAGAGGGGTAGTAACTTTTGAAGACAGTAATAAATCCAGAAATTATCAAGACCCTTCAACTGGCCAAGAAGCCATGCAATATTCCACATTGAGAGAGAATCCAATTTACCCCTTATCAAATAGAACTCAATCTTATCCAAGGGATAATGATCTTGATTGTTTTTGTGAAGAGGAGAGACACATACCTTTTCAAAAGGGTGGCACCGCTAATAACTCTGAAGACTATTGCGGAATTCCACATTGTCCAGAAAATAATACATTTAATAATGTAGCAACCCGCACTGAAAGAAGACAAACTTATCCCGACTTCCCAGAACAAGAACCGCTTTACAGGAGTTCCAATAAATATCAGAACAAAAAAGCATTATATCAACAAGAACTACGCGAATGTCCTGGAAGACAAGTGCTTTTAGAGCACTCGAATGATCAAATTGGTCCAAGTAGAGCAGAAGAAAATGTAAACTATGCAGAAAACCAAACATATTTTAATGATCCCAGGCATCAGAAGTTTAAAGAGACTTATGGAGCGGAAGAGTGTTTACTAACTTGTCCGACGAGACTTAAGTGCTCTCATCAAGATGATAAAAGAAGAGGGGGTCCGCGAATTACTGTAGTTAGTAGCAACCGAAGAGACGAAAAAAACAATAGAACAAAGAATAATAAACAATCATATCTAGGTTCAAATGATTTAGAACCATGCTTAAGTCCCAAATGCCCCAATAGATTAAATAGAGTTTCCAATAAAGAGAATTTATGCAACAACCGAGAATGCCCTGAAAAAAGATTGAAATCCAATAAGAAAGCAAAACAGGTTTACCAAAACGGTAACGATTTATGTGAAAATCCAAATTGTCCCGATATAAACCCGACTAGAAGGGAACGATATACGGTCAATAACTCTATAAATGACAATAGAAAATGGAAAAGGGAAAGGCAAACACAATTAGAGGAAAACACAGAAGGTGTAGACTCTCAGGATTCATGCTCTGAAGATTGTCCCAATCGAGGATACTTTACAAATCCTAATAATCAAAATAAACAACCAACTGATGACTGGAAAACCTGCGGAAATCCAAAATGCCCAGATAGATCAAAAAGGCTCTCCAACAAGGAGAATTCGCGAAAGGATTCCAAGTCCCCCGAAAAAAGAACAAGGTGCACAACTCAAAGATATGAAAATGTTTATGATAACTCAGAAAGTCCCATTAAAAATAGAACAAACAGGGATCGAAATAAGTATCCAACTGACAACGATCATTATAATAGAATTGGTTCCAAAAGAAAATACAATCAGCAATTGTGTGAGAATCCAAAATGCCCCGATAAAAAAAATATACACAGGAAACGGAATGAAAATGGATATGCAGCACATGATTCGCAAAAAGTAAGTTCTGAAAGACGATCGTCGTATAGCGAAAAAAGATCAACAGATCAACGGAAAAGTCCAAAATCAATATGCCCTGATCCCGACTGTCCAGAACGGAAAGAAAAAGATAACGAGAAAGATCCAGACTTAAATCGTACAAATGGTTATGATCGCCAACGGTATCGATTTAACAATGATATAAATAATGGTAATCTTGATAATGGTTTTGAAGTCTGCGACAATCCGAAATGTCCAGATAGATTAAGAGAAGATGGCAATAGAAAGAACTATGACGATAATCATTATGAAAAAGAATTGTGTGAGAATCCACATTGTCCCGATAAATTAAATAAATCATCTAAAGGGGAAAAATATTCAATGGATGAAGAAATAGGTCCGAATGATACCGACGAGCTAGATCTCTGCTCTACGGATTGTCCCGAGCGTTATCGAGTTCTCTTTACCGATCTGCGTAGATGTAAAAATAAACAAAATAAAACAAGTCGTCAAAGCAGTGGAAGAGCGGATATATACGATGATGATCACATCAGAACAAAGTCCTGTAACGCATGCAAGCGATATGTACCTCTTGAAAGGGATCGTCAGGCGATTAACAATTATTGTAATCCCTGTAGAACTGAAGCAGCAAAGAAGACCGAATCTGTAGAAAGCTTAGTAAGAGCCATCTGCATAAGCCCTGGCAAGCAAGCACCAATTTTTGTTAGAAATAGACACAATCCCCTTGTGACGGATCCGATTTTCAATAGCTACGACAAACATATTTTGAAAAATTTTGAAAAATACAAAGAGGAAAATAAACTGCGAAAATGTATTAAAGACTGTCCTTTTATTAATCGTAAGAATATTTCGCATAAAAGTTCCTCTGATTGCAGTTGCGAAATAGAACCCCAAGAATATATTCCCCCCTGCGATTGCCAAAGAGACAAAATTGTAGAATACGAAGATACGAAAAAAAATAAATCCATAGTCTCGTTCTTCGGTTGTTGTACAAAATCACCAAAAGATGAAAGTAAATTGGAGCCCGAACCACAGAGGAAAATTGAGACTGCTCAAAAAGACAAAACTGGATCGAAACCAATAGAGAAAACTGAATCAAAATCGAGTGTATTTAGCTGTTTCAAAAGAAAGGAAAAACCTCCACAAGAAGAAACTAAGCCAAAAGAGAAAGCTGCATCCAAGTCGAGTGGATTTAGCTGTTTCAAAAGGAAAGAAAAGGTTCCCCAGGAAAAGCCGAAACCCAAAGAAAAAACTCAATCTAAGTCGAGTGGATTTACCTATTTAAATAAAACGGAAACGGTTCCCCAGGAAGAGCCGAAACCTAAAGGGAAAGCAGCAGGATCAACCAAATCGAGTGGTTTTCTCTGTTTCAAAAAAACCGAAAAACGGCCCCAAGAAGATAAACGTGAAAAAGAAAAATCTAAAGACACAAGTGAAAAACAATCGAAGCGAAGCGGATTTTTCAGTTGGTACAGAAAATCCGATACTCCCAAGGAATACAGGCTAAAAATAGAGGAAGTCCCCTCGACTCCAGATTGCACATGTAGAAGTGAATCGCCACCCAAAGACGAAGAGGTTCCTATGCTTCAACCTGGAGTTCCCTTCCGCTGTCCATGTGCCCCCGATGACATCGACGATGGCGAGGTAAAGGTCTTATATGACTCTAGTTTCCGTTTTCAAAAGGAGAGCTGCAGTTGTGCTGAAGTTCCGAAAACCATATACTGCCATAATAATCCCCAAAACCCTGGACAGGATACTTCGGATTGGTATGCTTCGTCGCGTCCAAGTTCAGTTACATCCTGCCGCCAAAATATCGAGGAGCAGGAGATACCATACTGCCCATGTGCTAGTGCTAATGGGTTCTATAAAATTGTGCGGTAACTATGATTGAGAGTTTCAACGAAAACATTAACATTTTTGAGAAAATTCCCAATCATAATTACTTAAAGTAAGTAGTTAAAATCAGTACAAAAAGTATATTTAAATTAAATAAAATGTGAACTTATAGTATTTACTTATTGATAGTGACGTTGAACGTGGCCAATATTTTAAGGGTAGTTGTGTATAAAACTCCTTAAATATGGTATAAATAATTAGTTGTAAAACTACTTATCTCAGTTATTAAATATTTAGACGCAGCAAGCTTATGCTGCAATTAAAGTGATTAAATTCGAAAACTATAGCTATATTTTTTGAAATATTTTTTAGCTAGCGATAACAGTCACTGTGGTAAACTATCGTTTGAGTCCCACCAGCAGCGCAGCAGCTGATTCTCCCGATAGGCCTAATTGGTCCGCTGATATCGATAACACACCCCGTGCTCTGCCAATAATATTTAATATTATTAATAATATTAATTAAAATATCCGCCGGGGTCAGCTAATTCTTTCCCATATTGGAGGATATTTAAAGGGCAAAGCCCATTTGAATTTAGACGGAAAATTGCACTTCTTCGTGGAAGTCCGGGCTTAGGCTAAACAAAATGTTGAAAAATATTGTAAACACATCCAGGCAGGTGCTCTATCCCGTGGCCAGGACCTTCACCCGCAGCAGCATCCAAGGCAATGCGGTGACCGAATCCCCTGTGACTGCTCCACTGGTCACGAAATTGCCACTGATTCTGCCGCAGGATTACACGGAACACTTGCCGGTCAGCAGGAGCACAGCCCGTCAGGCGTGGATCGAGAATACGGATGCGGTGGCGGAGCGGAAGGTGGGACTAATCGAACTGCATCCGGATGTTTTCGCCGCCCAGCCGAGGGTGGACATCATACAGGAGAATGTGGAGTGGCAGCGCAAGTATCGTTATGTAAGCATGGCGCACACGAAGACCCGGGCAGAAGTGCGTGGTGGTGGTCGCAAGCCGTGGCCCCAAAAGGGAGGAGGTCGTGCCCGGCACGGTTCCCTACGATCGCCCATGCTCAAGGGCGGCGGCGTGGTCCACGGCCCCAGATCGCCCACCACCCACTTCTACATGCTACCCTTCTATAAAAGGGTTTTGGGCTTGACCTCTACGCTGAGCGTTAAGCTGGCCCAGGATGATCTGCATATCATCGAGAATGTGGACATACCCACTGGTGATGCAGAGTTCCTCAAGGATCTGATTGCCGAACGAAACTGGGGACCCTCCGTCTTGATTGTGGACGAGTGAGTATTGCATGGAAGCAGGGATGACTACCTTGAAATCTATTTTTACATGCATTATTTTGTTTCCAGAGACCACATGTTCCCCGCCAATATTTCCCAGGCCAGCGATGATCTGGGCTATGTCAACCTGATGCCATCCTTTGGCCTCAACGTGTATTCCATGCTCAAGCACGACACTCTTGTCCTAACGGTCGCTGCAGTGAAGCATCTGGAGCAGCGGCTGCTTTACCAACTTAATCGCAATGATGCCACCAGCAAGGGTGGAAAGTTCAAACTGGATCAAGTCTAGAAATTAAGAAAGTTAAATCCTCCATCTTAATTGTAGTCTTTTTGAATGCCAGAAAATGCATTGTTATACAAAAAAAGTTTTTTTTATTAACCTTGGTTTAATTTTTTTAAGTAAATGTCTTCGTGAATATTCAACGCGCTTCTGTGTAACTTAAAGGTAAATAACAGCCTGAAGATACTTTATTACTAAGTCAAATCTTATAGGCTCCTCCCATCGAGATTCGTCCACCATCCGTTCAACGCACGGCCCTTTAGATATGGCTGTTCCAATTTCCCATAACCAAATTTGACCGACCTAATGCAATCGTCTAAACCTAAATTCTTCAAAAAAAAAAAATTTTTCTTTCACTCCAGTTTAAACTGTTTTGAAGACTAGAGAATGCTCAAAACAGGCTTATAATGCGCGATTCCCTATCGTTTATGTTGTCAGCTGTTATCGGATGGTGGATGTGCTCTGTGGGAATACACTTCTACATTTGTCAGAAATCCCAGCTATTTACATGAATCTACTGTGTGGGAGAGGTTTTGAAACACAAAAAAGTAACGAAACTTATTAACTTGGAGATTAGGTACATAAATATACATAAACAAATGTATTAATTATGATTTATTTTCAAGCTAGATTTCGAATTAAGTGGGATCTCCGTCATTTAAAGTGAAACAATGGAATTAGGCTATTAGAGGAACACCCTTAATGTTTATTATATATCGATAACGATATGTAGAACTCATTCCAATCGCATTCTTAAAGACACAAACTGCATAAATAATACTAAAATATAGTTGAAGGATATAAACATCCTTTTTGTTTGTTATAAGCATATGTTTAGGACTGGAATTGTAATACAAATTTGGTAAACATGAACCATTCACTTGGCATTCCGGTCGGCAACAATCTTTGTAAAGCTATGTAGTGACGATGTTGTGTGTCATTGTTTTTGTCAAATAGGGAAAAGTGCTAAGGGAATCGCTATTGTTTATTGATTTTGCTGGTTGTTGCAGTGTCCTTTGGCAAATATAATTGCACTTAATGCAAAAGAATCAAGGCAATGTTTATAAAATTGATTTCCGAGAACCCAATAACACGTACATACATACATACAGTTGTATGCAAGCAAGTGCAAACAAGCAGTTACATCAATAATCAAGGTTGATTTTCATTAAGCTTACATACATACAGATATGTAAAATCAGTTTTGTAAAATATAAATGTTGGTGCCTCAAAAAATACTCTTTAAGTTTCCCTTTAACAAATTATAATTTATATCTAATTATTTCTTCTTTTGCAGCCTTTAGTTGGAAATAATGAATTCCAAATCCGATCATGAAGCCGAAAAAGAAAAAAAGTTGACCATTACCAATAGGTTTGGGGATTCCATGGAGAACTATGAACTACCCAACGAGAGCGAACACAAACCCCATGTTTACCCCAAAAAGATTCCCAACAGAAAAAATGGAATATTAAAGTAAGTAGCTAAGATATCATTAAATATAAATATCTAATCCATTTACAATATTCAGAAACAGCGATGGCAGCCATGGTGCTGTTGATAATCCCTATCATGAGGATGTCGATTTGGCAGACATTCTTGGAACAAACTGGCCAAAAAGAGCGGGAGCGGCTGCTATGATCTTAAACAACAAAAGCAAAACGGTGACAGAACCTAATAGTATCGAGGATACAATTTTGAAACCCACTTCCCCTATTTTAACAAAAGTAGAGTCAGAGGAACCCATACGTGAGTATATTTTATTGGCTATTTTATATAGTAATAACGAATAATTTGCGGGGAAGTCCCTTTTTCTTATAAAGTTCTTTTCAAAACAATAAAAAAAACTTATTAGCGATTAATAAGATTTGGCGATTATTTGCATATGTAACTGTGTTATATTATTATTTTTACAGTCGAAATTATTTTTTTAATCAATTATGACACATTTTTAAAATCCTAGAAATAATGTTATCAATATTGAAGTTTTTTGTTATCATTATTCTTTTTTTTTCTTAAAAGACAACTGTTTAAAGTTCCATTATGACTTTTTGGCCAATTGGCCATGGACAATTTTATTCCTTGTCAATAATATAGCACTTCAAGCCATTTCAAAATGCTCCTTTTGGAGCTGTATTAGACTAGATATTACATTTTTGTAAGTTCCTTACTCGTTTGGCTATCTTGCTAAGCATCATAGAAAACATGTGTATTTTTAGATCGCCGGCCAAATACATACGAATACATACATATATTCTATTTACGTTCACGTAAAACGCCAGTGCTCTGAGTTGATATATGCAGTTTGTTGAGGAGTTTTATTTGTGTTGAACTTTGTCAATGCTTTTAGCTGCTAAAAAATATTTTAATTATTAACAAAACTGTTGTGCGAATACTAAAAATGAATCTGTACCAAAAACCAGTGTCATCTGATTCAGATATCCACAACAACATCCCATTAACTGTGCTTGAATTCTATTCGGCCAATTACATGCCCGAGGAACCGGGTATGGTTGATTACGAAACAGAGGGACACTTTGAGTTCTTTAGGGAGCTGTTTTTAGCAAAGAACCGAATTTAAGAATACTGTATAGATTATTAATATATTCGTTTTTATATATTTTAGGATTCACAGCCGCTGATTACCAACCGCTGATCGAAATACCAGGAACCGAACTAGCGATCGGTTCCCTTGTAGAAGTCTCGAACCCTGGAGTGTGTGAAGATCTATATGGCGTTATAAGATGGATTGGCATCCCTCCTGGTTTGCCCAAAAACGTACTCGTTGGAATAGAGGCGGAAGACGAATCGAACTTGAAAAATGTTGTGACATCGGATGGGAGGCATAATGGCGTTCGGTATGATTTTCTTATAGCATTCTATATACAAACATATGTGCAGAAAAAATTCAAATTAAGAAATCGCTGTCTTTGTTTTTAATTGGCAGTGATTTTTATTGAATTCGTTTGCTTTAACAGAACTCTTGAAGATGCATGTGTACAATGTAAATACTACAATTTATCTTTTGTTTTGCTTTTGTTTTAGCTTATTTACTTGCCACGATGGTCGAGCTATTTTTGTACCAGCAAACAGATGCACGGCTGACCGGCGATTTGCTGATGTGGATAATAGTATATCTGCAAACCGAGTTTCCAATAACCACGCTAAAAAATTCGGTGTCGCTGACTGTCCCGCCATTTATGGTTCGATACCTCCACTGGGTAAGCTCTGAGATCCAAGCATACTTGAAGGAAAGGATAAATTTAAAAACGTTTTTATTTGTTTTAAGAAATTCACAACTCTGAAGAGCTGGCCAGCATTTGTGGAAAGTTTAAGGGAATACAAGGACACCATAATTCCTGCTATCTTGATGCAACACTATTTTCAATGTTCACGTTCACCAGCGTATTTGATTCCATTCTGTATAGACATCCGGGACCACAAGTAAGATATTTAAATTGTCTGGTTATTCAATACATTTATTATACTATCTTTTAGGACATTCGTCATTACAGTGAAGTTCAGAAGGTTTTGCGCGATGAAATCGTCAATCCATTGCGAAAGAACGTGTTTGTTCGATCTGATCGTGTGATGAAACTTCGCGAACTGTTGGATCAGCTTAGTTCTGTAAGCGGTCTCACCTGCGAGGAAAAAGATCCTGAAGAGTTCCTAAATAGTTTGCTCTCACAAATTATGCGAGTTGAACCATTTTTAAAGGTGCGTTAATACACTATTTGCTTAACACTAATACTAAATAAATATTTTATTAATAGCTAAGCTCCGGACAAGATTCTTATTTTTACCAACTATTTGTGGAGAAGGATGAAAAGTTAACATTACCGAGTGTCCAGCAATTGTTTGAACAAAGCTTTCACTCTTCGGACATAAAACTCAAGGAGGTTCCTTCTTGTTTTATCATTCAAATGCCTCGTTTCGGAAAAAACTATAAGATGTATCCACGCATATTGCCTTCGCAAGTACTTGATGTAACAGACATTATTGAAAATTGTGAGTTTTCACAGAAGGCCTCTTTTATATTTTTGATTAAATATCGTCTACGTTTTTAGCTCCTCGACAGTGCTCTCTGTGTGGAAAACTGGCGGAGTTCGAATGTAGGGATTGCTTTGGTAGCCTGCAAGCTGGATCAGGACTAGAATGCACAGCTTTTTGTCCCAAATGTCTGAAGACATTTCACTCTCACGCCAAAAGGTTTGATAACTCAATTGACTTAATACTTGTACGCCATTCACACAACTCTTTTTCAGAACTAATCATGTGTCGAAAAAGATCTTCAGTCCAAAAGAATTTAGAATCATGGCCGAGCACATGGTTGTCCCGCGATTGTACATGGAATTGTTTGCCGTCGTTTGCATAGAAACGTCTCATTACGTGGCGTTTGTAAAGTCTGGGTCAGGGCCAGATGCACCATGGTGCTTCTTCGATTCAATGGCTGATAGAAAAGGTAAGCTTTATGAGTACTGCACCTCAAAGAAACCCACTTAATATTTTAGTATAAGATATAAGGTATAAACTATATAAGCTATAATGTATATACCGGTTGTTTAAAAGCATTAGATCGTCTTCTGATCAGATCTAACCAATGCAGTAATTCTCCTGAACTCACAGAGTAAATCTGTGGATGTTCCTTGGCGCCTATTTTCGTTTTATTGTATTTGCTGGCCTCACTCACCTTTTTAATTACAAAAATATTATTTCAGGTGAACAGAATGGATACAATATACCTGAAATTACGTGTGTTCCAGAATTAACACAGTGGCTCTCGGAAGAAGGCGCACGATCTATAAATGAAACTTCAACGAACGATAAAGTATTACCTGAACACGCTAAGCGTATTTTTTGCGATGCCTATATGTGTCTGTACCAAAGCACAGATATTATGATGTACCATTAGAACAAATGTATCTATAATAAAGATGAATACAATAAATTTTTTGTAAGTCACCAGAGTAATGGATTTTTTAATTATAGAAACTTATGATTTCGGAAGTAAGTA